TCTTTCCCTGCCCTCCTGAACTCTTGTTGGGTGGTGGCTACCATGAAGGGGAGGAGGAAGACTGAACTGAGGACTCAAGTTTGGGGACATTGTGGGGGTGATAAGCTGCAGCTAGCAGTATGAAGATGCTCAGATGTCTGGGGCCGAGCTCCCAAACTGTTTCTAAGACCACATAGCCCATGTCAGATAGTCTTGGTTGCAATTCCTCACTCTGTAGGTTTGTTTTTGTTTTTGTTTTTTCTTGAGCACCCACTTTGTTCCAGGTTCTATGCCGGGTACTCACCCATGTATTGCCTCCCCAGAGACCTGGTTTGAGTTCACCCCTCACCACGCTGGCTACCCTGCACTCGGTGCCTACGTCCCTACTACCCACTTTGGAAGCAAATTCAAGGAGGGAAGACTGATTAAGTCTGAGTCTGAACGAGACCTGACCTTTCTGAAAGGTCAGTACTGGGATCAGATGGGGTTAATGGGAGTGGGAAGTGGAGGGAGGTAGGAGTTTCCCTCCTGAGGGCCCAACTCTGCCCAGCTCCTACATTTCTGGAAGTAGGCATGGGGAGCTTCCAGTAGGAGAGAGTGCATTCCTCCTATGTTGTCACTGTCTCTGAAGGATCCCCTTAATGTGGCAGAGTTCTGATACCAAGTGATCCAAAAGAGGCAGTTTAATAGAGGGGCTCAAATCCAGGGCTGTGGCTTCTAATAAGCACATTCAGAATGTGTTTGGGCACTAACAAAGCACATTTTTTTTAAAAAGAATAGGATATTTAAAAACCAGCTGACTACCAAAATCATCAAAGCAGTCATATTGCATAAAACCAGAGCTTGTTTAACCCTCCTTGACTGTGACTTGCGCTGGTGTCACTTTTACTTGTGACATCATGGCCTCAGCACTTGGGAGTCTGAAGATCCCACCCTGCAGGGTCAGACAGCTCCCCGCAGCCGGGAGCTGGATCAGCTCAGGCAAGTCATTTTCATTCTCGGAGCCTCAGTTTCCTCAGTGGGGCAGTGATATGATGAGATACTCAAAGTGTGTATGTGAGTTACGTGAGGTCCATTAATAAAAACCACTTAGCCCTGTGCTCAGCACATGGTGGAGCTCAAGGAGAGGTGAATGTCCATGTAGTCAACACATATTTTTGAGCTTCCAACTTACTCAACTATCCTTGAGCTCATACCATTCTCTAGTGTTTTTCAAGGCATTTGAACTGTGATCAGCCATATCAGATCTGTCTCCCTTAACCACTGAGCTATGGGTCTGGTCCTTATTTTATTATTATTTTTTAAGCAGAATTTCACTACGTTGCAATCTTCCTGCCTTGACCTTTCAGCTGGGATTACGGGCATATGCCACAATGCCTGGTTCTCTCTCAGATAGAGTCTTAACTATGTTGCTCAGGCCAGCCTCAGCTTGTAATCTTACCATCTTAGTCTCAGGTACAAGTTACTGGGATTATAGGTGCACACCACGTTGCCTGGCCTTTAAGTTGGACCAAGAATTGAACCCCGGCCTCCCATGTGGTCCCAGCCTTCAGAGCACAGCGTCTTAGCAGTACATACCACCGCCCAGTGTACAGCTTATCGATATTACATACATCCATAACATTGTGCAACCCTCACTGCCATCCACCTTGATAACTTCTTTTTTTTTTTGAGGAACCACCATGTTATTTTCTACAGTGGCTATACCATTTTACATCCCCTACAACAGTACACAAGTGTTCTGATTTTCCACAGCCTTGTCAACACTTATTTTCTGTTGTCCATTAATTCATTCATTTTTCTTTTTTTTTTTTTTTTGAGAGGTTTTTGCTATAGGGCGTGTGCACTTGCCAGACAGAGACAGAGAGACAGAAAGTGAAAAATCACCTCCCAGGGGGGATGGCCATGCCGCAATCCCTTCTCCTCCATTCTCCTCTCTTGGGCATGCACTCATACGCTCCCAGCGTGAGTTTTAAGCCCCTGGGTCTGGGACGCGAACTGCGGTCGACTATGTGGGAGTCCAGTGACATTGCCATTACGCTAACTGCTGGTCCCACATTCATTTTCATTAAAAAAAATTTTTTTTCAACTGGCACAAGTAGTTGCCAGAAAGGGAGAGATAGAGAGAGAGGGAGAAGGAGAAAACATCCCTCTCAATGGAGTGTGGTCATACCACAATCTTTTCTCCTCCATTTCTACTCCCCATTGAAATTTTGGACATGCAGGCACATGTGCCTGGTATGTTTTCAAGCCTCCAAGGCAAGGAGTCAAACCATGTGATTGGTCATGTGGGATCCAGTTTCCGTAACCACCAGGCCATGGGGCTAGACCCACTCATTTATGTTTGATAGTAGTGATCCTAATGAGTGGGTCTGTATGTGTCTTTGATGACTTGTTTGTATGCCTCCCTGAATCATATACAAATGTGTTTGGGTAAAGGTCACCACCAAGCACAGTGGCTGAAAAACTGATTTTAATGACAAAGGCAGGCAACTGATGGTGCTGGTGTACCAGTGCAGTGTTGCATGTGAGGACTCAGGTGTATCCTGGTTTTCTGCTCCTCCATCTTTAACATGTTAATGTTCACCCTCATGCTGAATTCTGTATCACCTGAAGGCTCCTGCGTTGGATGAATGTGCTCTTTCTTCACAGGAGAGTGAGCACTTTCCAGAAGTTTCCTCCACCAATCTACACAGGCCAAAACTTAAACACCCCCTAGCTACAAGGGAGGCTGGGAAATATCGTCCTTCCTGCCTCTATGCCAAAACATGGAAGGCCTTGGGGTCGCTTCTCTACAGTGTCTGACTGGCTGTACCGTAGAAGATAGTGATCGTGTGGACAGGCATTGTGTCTATCTTGTTTGCTGCTGTATTCTAGTAGTTAGGAGAGTGTCTGGTACTCAATTCTTGCTTCATAGATATTTACTGAAAGGAAGAATGAGCTTCCTGCCCAATGGATATTCACGTAACACTTTATACCAGTTGGCTGGTGCTTTGAGTACCAAGTGTGACAGTTACATGATAGAGAACCATTTAGATTTATTTTTGTTTTCCTGGCAGGTTTGTGGGGAAGTGCTCTAGCTAGCACCAAAGACATGAAGAAGTTCATTTTGGGTGAGTATTTGTTTGGAGAACAGAGAGTCAAAACCTCAAGGTATTTTATTTTATTTTTAATTTCTTGTTGCTTTTTTCATTGTTTGTTTGTTTTGTTTTGTTTTGTTTTGTTTTTACATTTGATTACTGTATATCTTGACCGCATACAAAATGGACTTTCCAAGCATGACTATACTGCATGTTAGTCCAGTCAAAGATCTTACCATACACTTAGCATCAATGGTTAACTTTCTGTTTCTGTGTCCATTTTTCCCCCCTTGATTCCCTCCCTCTTGCCCCCACATTGTCCACCCTCCTTCCACAGTCTCTAGTGTCCACAGTTGATCTCCATGCTTTTATATCTTCCAGTATTTCAGTTTCTGCTATAAAGTGCACATACTTGGTATATATTGAGTGGGGACATACAAAGCATGAATGTCATAGTCTGGCTTGCTTAAGCATTAAATCTTCCATATTCTTCCCCTTTCTATCAAATGCCATGGTCTCATTGTTTTTATGGCTGAGTAGTATTCCATAGTGTATATATGCCACATTTTTTTCAATCCATTCATCTGTTCTTGGACATTTGGGTTGACTCCATGTCTTAGCAATTGTGAATAATGCTGCAATAAACATGAATGTGCATGTGTTGTCCAATTGAGTGCTTTCCTATCCATTGAAATCCATAGTACTTTTCCTACAGGTAGCAGAAGAGAGACCTGGATGTAATTGTTCTAGTGATTGAATTTTCTGAAAATTGTTACCATTTATTGTATATTTACTGTGGGCAGCCAGAATGCCTGTGCAGTGACCAAGAGTTCAGACTGCCTTGGGAGGAATGTGACTCTGGTACATGTGACCTTTGTAACTGCTGGAAAGTTACCTAACCCCTCCATACCTCAGTTTCTGCATCTGTAACATGGGAGTGATAGTAATAGCAGTTATGAAGATTCAGTGAGTTAGTTTACCTAAATCACATACAATAGTGCCTGGTAGATTAAAGGAATCAGTAAACTTTAAGAACTGTTATCTATTCTATCATTTAATCCTTGCAATGACTATAAGAAGTGGATGTTATAATCGCTTCCACCTTGCTGAGATCTACTGAGTTGCCAGGAGGGCAAGTGACTTGCTAGGCATCCATGGTCAATGAGCACAGATGCAGGGGTCCATAGAGGTGCAATGCACTGGTGCAGCTCCAAAGTCTGCCTGGACCCACATCACAGCTCTGCTTCTTATGCATTTGCTACCTATGCAAGCTGCTTAAACTCCATGACATAATTTCTCCTTCTAGGAATGGAGACAATAGTAGTTCCAATCTTATAGGAGGGGACTTCAAAAAGTTGGTGGAAAAATTAAATGATAAATTTATTTGAGTCTGAGAAAAATGAAATCCATGTAGTTTTTCTGATAATGTATTTTCCATGAATAGGAGTCAGGTCTTCAAAAAGCTAATGGAAAATATGTATTATGAAAAAACTATACATGAATTTCAAAAAAAAATTTGCACCAGAACCAGCAGATAGCATAGTGGTTAGGGTATTGGACTCTCACATGCCCAGCCACAGTTCCCGGACCTGGTGACTTGAAACTCATGCCAGGCACATGTGCATGCATGCCCAAAATCCCAGGAGGAGAAGGTATTGTGGCATGGCCATCCCCTGTGGGGATTGAGTTTTCACTTTCCTTCTCACTGTCTCTCTGAAAAGTGCATGCACACTATGGCAAAAAAATATAAATTTTAAAATAAATTAATTAACAAATTAAAAATAAAAATAACTTTTTGAAGTTCATATCCCCTCATATCTCTAACCTTCCAATGGCTAACTGAAGTTGTGGAACAGGTCAGAGTTTTATTTCTCTAGGGGGTTGCTAAGTTTGTTCTCTATGGGGGAAAGAAAATGTCCCAATTTGTAGTGTTTGCCAATTCCTGTGGTGTAAATATTCTCAACATGGCCAGTGTTCAGCTATCATTGCGAGGTCTCTGAACACAAAGTTGGAGAAGAGCCAGTATCAACAGGCTTCAGCCTATCATTGCCATTTCTATTAAAGAGCTATCCCTGGAGGTAACTTGTATTTGCTATAAAAATATTCAACACTGTAATGAATAACTTGATTGTACCGAAATACATTCCCTCTTCTTCTGCTGTCTTGCAGCCCAGTTTCTAAGCTTGAAAGAAAAATTGAAAATGAACTATCTATCCAAAGAAGGTAAGTACCCTACATTGATATGAATCACCAATAATAATATGGATTGAGAGCATGCTTAAAGCCAGCCATTGTCCTGAGAACGTATATATAATGATTTACTTGGTATTCATCCTCACGTTATGAATAAGATCTATTATTATCTTACTGTCCAGTTTGGAATCAAGGGGCACAGGGGCTAAGTGAGGTGTCTAAGGCCACGTAGGCAAGAGGTGGCAGAATTGCAGTCCAAACCCACACATGGGCTCTAGCACCCATGTGCACAGTCACCAAACATACCCTAGGTGATATCAGAGGCAGAAAGTAGGAAGATCCTGAGGCATTTAGCAAATTGAGAAGAAAAACATTTCCTAAAATTCTATGGGTTATGAGTCACAAAAGAAAGAGACTTATCTATGGAGAAATTCTAAAGGAGAACAAAAACTAAACATAAAACAGATACTGAATAGAGAGGTTTAGACTGCATTAGTCAGGGCTAAGAGACTGTGCTGTACACCAAACCCCCAAATAGCTACAACCTAAGATACATACAGCTTATATTTTGTTCACATGAAATGCAGTATGGTTGGGTGTTCCTCTAGGTCAGCTCTCCTCCACATGGGGACTCAGGGATCCAAGCTGCTTGTATCTTGTTGCTCCTTATCTCAACACAAGGTCTCCTTATTTGTCCCATGACAGCACTGGAGAGCCATGAAGGGCCTCTTGTGACTAGGCCTGGAAGTAGCAATGTACCACTTCTGCTCACATTTTATTGGCCAGGATCAGTCACATGGTCCAACCTGACTACAGGAGAGGCTGGCAAATGAGGTATCATTGTGTACATAAGAAGAAATAAGCTTGGTGAACAGAGAGCACATTGTTGCCTCAGGTCATCAGTCAGTATAGAGTGAAGGTAGGTCTTTACTCCAGGACTGCATCTGCTTTACAGGTTTATCGCTGTCTTAGTCATTAAGGTTGCCAGACAAAGTACCATGGGTTGAATGACTTATAAACAGCAGAAATTTATTTCTCATTTCTGGAAGCTAGAGAAGGCCAAGATCAAGTTCTGGGGAGACCCTCTTCTGAGTTGTAGAGTACCAACTTCTTGTGTCCTCATATGGTGCAAATAAGGCAGGAGCCATCTCTGGAGTCCCAGAATAAGGGCACTAATCCAATTCATTGGGGCCCCACCTCCTAGCCCAATCACCACCACAAAGGCCCCACTTCCCAATACCAACCAATTGGAGGTTAAGATTTCAATATATGAATTTGATGGGCACTCATGCATTCAGTCCATAGCACTCCCCACTATTTTCCTTCTGCCCCTCAATCTGCTCTTTTGCTATAGGGCATGTGTACTCATTGGAGAAAGACAAAGAAATATAGGAAAAGCCTTTCCTAAAGGCTGAGATAGTGAGAAATCCCCTCCTGGGGGAATAGCCACACTGTAATCCCTTCTCTGCTGTTCTCCTTTTGGTAGTATGGGCACACATGCACATGTACCGGGTGTGTTTTCAAGCCACCAGGTTTGAATGCACAGTCGGTCAAATGGGATCCAATTGCCTTATCCAATAAGCTACCTCCTGGCCCCTTTTTTTTTTGTTTCTGAAACTAGTACCCAGGACAGTTCATGGTCCACAGTGGAGACACAATAACTGTTTAATGAGTGAGTGGATAAAAGAGTCCAGTATAGGCAGCATTTGCAGTTTGGCAAAAATAACCTGAAATTCCAAATGTGCCTTTCTTCAACTTTCACTAAGTTTTAAAAGTTATACACATACAGGGGGCTAGCAGGTGGCATAGTGGTTAAGGTGCTGGTTATGGCTGACCACAGTTTGAGTCCCAGACCTGGTGGTTTGCTTTCTCTCTTCCTCTCTCTTGCTCTCTGTGTGTGTCTCTCTCTGTCAAACTAAAAATAAATGAATGAATAAATAACATTAAATAATTCTTTTTAAAAAAGTTATACAAATACACACACATAAATTATATATGGTTATATATAACTATGATATATATAATATAGTTATACAAATACATACATGTGTGAATAATTATATACTTGTATGTATATAAAATATTACATGTATGGTTATGTATAACTATAATGTATAGTTTTTATATATTATGTTTGTATATGTTAGTTGTATGTCAGTTACTTAGCACCAGCCATTCAGAGAGCTATCTAGTCCCTTCTGCCATGTGAAGTCATAGCAAGAAAAGTCACCATGCACTGAAGAACAGCCCTTACCAGACACCAAATCTGCCGACACTTTGACCTTGGACTTCCTGCCCTCCAGAACTGTAAGGAATACATTCCTGTTATTCATAAGCCATCCATCCAGTCCGTGGTATTTTGTTATTGCAGCCTGCATGAACTCAGGCATCATACAAATGGAATCATACAGTGTTGGTCCTTCTGAGTCTGACCGATTTCACTTGACGTAATGTTTTCAAGATCCATCCATGTCATAGCGTGTGTCAAAATGTCACTTGTCTTCCTAGCAGAGTAGTAGCCCATTGTGCGTAGACAGTGCTTTGTCTCTCCCTTTGTCTGTGGGTGTGCCCTAGTGCTGCTTCTCCCATTGGTTATTGTGAATAGGGCTGCTGTGCATGTGGGCCCCAAGAAGCTTGCTGACAGGGTGAGAACCTGAGAACCTGGGCGCTGACGTAAACATGTTTGAGGTTACACAATTAACAAGGCAATGTCAGGACAGGATCTTGAATGTGGCTCATGTTGAGATAGACCTCCCTGCAGGAAGCCCATCTGCCTAGACCTGGGCTGATGGATGAACTCACGTGAAGCTGCTTAGATTTCATGATGGCTCTAGGCTAGGGACGGGGAGGGTGCTGACGTCTCAGGTTGGGTTCCCCAGAATCAAACTGGAAGGGAAGAAAGTAGTTGAGGAAGGAGCCAAGCAGGGGTGAGATTGCAGAAGTCTGATCCTGAGGGAGGCTCTGGAGCATAAGTCATGCCCTGGGCCTCTGTCCTGCCTGGAGCCACGGCAGCAGGCTCCATTTTCCTACATGCATCAGTCATTGTCTGTTGTTTGGGCCGAGGAGGAACACCCACTCTTGGGTGCTTCCCAGATAGGGGTGGGAGCCTTTATCAGCCACACATGTAGCAGCTGGGGTGCAGGTCGCAGGGGGCACTTGGGGGCAAGGCGATAATATACACCTGCACTTGTGGGTGAGCATTCTTGTCTCTGAGCAGGCACAGGCGTGGACGAAGCTCTGCTGGAACTGGTGACGGCTTACTTACAGGATCAGAGCAGCAACAGCACCCAGAGGAGGCTGCAGACCCTGCAGCAGGCACTGCAGGTGGAAAGGCCAGGTCTGTGCACGGGGATTGGCTCTCAGACTGTGTGGGATGACAGAGGGCCAGAGGAGGTGGGCAGGGGGAGACTGAGAGCTGAGACCAGGTAGGTGGAGTGGCAGGGAACAGGCTCAGCTTTCCTTCCTCCTTCAACTCACACTGCTCTCACAGGGAAGGCATCAGTGCCAGGAGGGGAATGTGTAATCAGTAAACTAAATGGGGCAGGCTGGGGCTGAGGCCTTGGGGAGTGGAAGGGACCCAGGAAAAGTAATGGGAGTGAGTGGTCAGTCAACTCCAGCACCTGCTGCCATTCTGGAAGGAGGGACCTTTGTTTCCAGACAGCAGTGATGCCCATGAGTGTGTATGTCGCCATTGTGCCAGGCTCGGGCTGCATGCCATCCCCTTATTATTGCATGTAGTTCTCACAACCCTGTGAGACAGCCACTCCTAATATCCCTATTGTTCAGGTGATGAAACAGAGGTAGAGATATTGAGTAACCTGCTTAAGGCCACACCGTTTATAAATGGCAGTGCCAGCATTCCAGTGCAGCACTCTGGCTCCAGGGTATATGACTGTCCTGCAATGGTTAAAAGCCAGAAAATTCACATTTCAAGAGAAATCTTCCTATTTTTATGTGCTGCTAGTAAATTAATATTTCTTTTAGGACATGGTGTAAGTGAACTATTTGGGACAGGATTAAGCTCACAGGTTTCTGGTTGTTATGGGATATCCTTAAAGGATAGAGCAGGGGGAAGAGCATAGGTTTGTATCCCAGCCCCAGCACTTTCCAGCTGTGTGACCTTGGCCAAGAGACTCAGCCTCTCTGTGCCTCCATAGTCCTCATCTGTGTAATGGGGACAACTCTCAGTGCCTCCCCACAGCAGTGGGGTAAAAAAGGATGAGATTCATGTAAAATGGCCAGACACGGGCCTGGCACACAGCGAGTGCTCAATAAAATACGAGAATTATATCCTGAGTGTGAGACAGAACTGAGTGGCTGTAGATAAAAGTAGAGGAGGAGCTATCTAAGGATCCAACCCTGGTAAATATCACTGTGTAAGGGAGGACTGGGGATGAGGAACAGCCTAAGGAGGTGGAAAAGAAGAGGCTGTAGAGTAGGTGGAAAGGAGGCCAGCTGTGCCAGGTCACCACAGGCAGGGGAAGGGGCGGGAGATCGGGAGAAGGGCAGTCAGCTGTAGGAGGAGCTGCTGAGGTGTCATGGCTGCTGTGACAGAGCAGGCTGTGGCTGGCTTTGGGCATGTGACATGGACACATTCTGAGGTGTATGGCCACCTGGGTTTCTTGGGGTAGATCAAGACAGCGAGCCTGAACACGCCTGGCTGGCCAAGATGGTTCAGAACTGGAGCCAGATGTCCTGGGAAGAGCAGGGGCGGCTCCTGGAGTCCCTGGTGTGTAGCTTCACAGGGCAAGGAGGGCTTCCCATGCCCCGCATCAGGAGCACAATCAAGGGTGAGTGCCAGTTCTGTCCACCTTCTCCCTGCTCTTTCCTCCCCACCTCTGCAGCCAGTCCATAGGGGTTGACCAGATGTCCCACCCTGCATCTATTTTTCTACAAGTTGTGGGCATGGCATAGGTCTGAGGTGTTCAGAGGGGAAATGACACACCAGGTGCCTGTCCTGGAGGACACACAGGCTAGTGGAAGAGCCACAGAAAGACCGGTGAGCCAGCCCAAACAGGCCCATCCTGGGCCAGCAGATAGTGTGGAGGTTAAGGTGGCTGGATCCCAAATGGCAGATAGTGAGATCTGAGTCCCAAACCTAGTGACTTGAAATTTGCTCCAAGCACATGTGCCACTTAGAGGGTGAGGGTTTCAACATGTGACTGGGGAGTTTAATACCATAACACTCACCTTGGCCCTCTCGGTTTCTTCCTCCAGAGTCGCTCAAGGACTTTTTGGACTTTCTGAATAAAACCGGAGTATGCTTTTGGAAGTGGGAATGGGGGACCATTCACAACTTTCTGTACGAACATGGTGAGACAGCTCCTGTTCCCATTTCCCTGATCTGGCCACTGGTGGGCCGTGAGGGATGGTGGATGATGGAGAGACACGAAACACTCAGGCACATCTCTTCACCAGAGCTGCGGAGGGTGGGGTGGCAGAGTGCCCCGGGGTCTGAGAGGAGGTCTTCTGTCCTTGCTTTTTGTAGTGAAAAATATATCACTTCATTAGCGAGTCAAGGTGTTGCGAAAAACCCAATTCTGGGGACCAGCAGTTGGTGTAACGGCTATCTCGCTGGACTCCCACGTAGTTGACCGCCGTTTGAGTCCCGGACCTGGCGGTTTAAACTTATGTCGGGCATGTGTGAGTGCATGCCCAAGATCCTGGGAGGAGAATGGAGGAGAAGGGATTGTGGCGTGGCCATCCCCCCTGGGGGATGATTTCTCGCTTAACAAACCTCTCTGTCTTTCGCACATGCGACGTATAGCAAAAACCTCTTTAAAAAAACAAACAAACAAACAAAAATTCCGGAGCTCAGAAGTGCAGGGTCAAGATGTCCGGGTGCAGGGCTGGTTTCACCAAGGCCTCTCTCCTTGACTGGCAGATAGGCAGATCCTTCTTTCACTTTCCCTTCTCTCCAGCCGTGTTCGCAGGTCTCGCTTTCAGGCTCTGAAAGTTGGCTGATCCAATTTCTCTCTGCCCGGTGCCACAGGTGGCATCAGAGATGAGGCGATGCACAGTCGGGAACTCCTCCACCTGGTCGATGCTGGGGTTGCCATCAACACTCCCTACCCACTGGTCCTGCCCCCGATGCGGGAGGTCCACCTCATCCTCTCCTTTGACTTTAGTGCCGGGGATCCTTTTGAGGTAATGCAGAAGGCAAGAGATGGAATTTAGGTGGAGCTAAGTGCAGGAAGAAACTGAGGACTGGAGCTGGGGAGTGGGTGATGGGGGCAGGTGCTGACTGAGGAGTGGGCGATACTGGGGAGTGGGTGGTGGGGGCAGGTGCTGACTGAGGAGTGGGTGATACTGGGTAGTGGGTGGTGGAGGCAGGTGCTGACTGAGGAGTGGGTGATACGTGGGAGTGGGTGGTACAGGAGCCAAACCAGCTTATCCCTTAGTCCCAAAGCACTCACCTCTGACAACATCCAACAGCCTTGTCATCTAAAACCAGCCCAGACCTTCCTGAGCCCTCTTCCTGGCAGATTTTGCCACCTTCTGGGTCCCACCCGCCATCCATATCTGTCTCGTGATAGGTTAAACATTCACCTGCATGCTTCCTTGCCCAAGCATGTTCTCTGCAGCCCTGAGGTGGTTTCTTTCTTCTCATTTCAGTTTGTTGGAGTCTGGCATGGGGTGGTGCTAAATGTTTGCTCCATGAGGAGATGCATGTGTATTTGTACTCAGCACATACCACACCTTCAGGACACAGGAGCTATTTTTCTCAGTTGCTTTGAACCAGTTTTACCTGGCTTCATACCCACACTCTGCCACTTACCAGCTGCACAACTGATGCAACTTATTTACTGTCAGTGCATGTTGCTTTCCTCAACTGTAAAATGGAGCTGATGTCAGCTCCTCCTAGGATTTGTTACATGAATTAATACTTGCCAATACTTGTAGAGTACTTAGCACTGTCTTCCACTCAGTATGAGTTTATAAGTATTTTCTTTAAAAATAAATGCACGAATGTAATATTAGGTCAGCGGGAAAGTTATGAGACTTTTTTTCTGTGCAAAAAATGCATCTTGACTTTCCTGATGACCCAGTATACAACTGTTATATGATGCATGCTGATTTATAATAGTATTCATATATAGGAGACATTACAAGGTTTGTGAAAAAAATGCAATTATTTTAGCGCAAAGTGAAATCCAGGCATAATTTTTTTCATAAAGTATATTTTCTTATTTTTCAGTTTTTTTAAGAGAGGTTTTTATACTCAACAAAAAAAGACAGAGACAATAAGAGGGAAAATAAGAAATCACCCCACAGGGGGGATGACCACCTCACAATCCCTTCTCCTCCTTTCTTCTCCTAGGATCTTGGGCATGAATGTACACATGCTCGGCATGATGTTCAAGCTACTGGGTTCAGAACTTGAACCGTGGCTGACCATGTATAAGTCCAGCAACATAACAATTATGCCATCTGCTGGTCCCCAAGTTTTTGGTTTTTATTTTAATTTGGCCAGAGAGCCTGTGTGCTCACTGGAGAGAGACACAGAGAGAGAAAGAAAATGAGAAAGCATCCCCATGGGGAATGGTCATACTGTAGTCCCTCTTCACCATTTCTCCTTCCTTTTTGGGTACACACACACACACACACACACACACACACGTGTTTCTCAAGCCACTGGGACCAGGACTTGAACTGTACAGTTGGCCATGTGGGATCCAGCTGCCTTAATCAACACACCACTGGCTAACCCTCTTAAATATTTTTTATAGTATATTTATTTCTTCCATGGAGGAGCAGGGAAGAGTATGCTTTGCTTTTTTTTTTTTTTTTTTGCTTGTTTGTTTATTCATTTATTTCTTCCATGTGAGAGTGGAGGAAGGCAAGCATCTCTGATAGGGTTCTATTTTCCTCCTTAGACCATCAGGGCTGCTGCTGACTATTGCCACCAGAACAAAATTCCCTTCCCCCCAGTAGAAGAGGCTAAGTTGGAGGCGTGGTCCAAAGCCCCGGCTGACTGCTACATCCTGAAAGGGGAAACCGGTCCTGTCGTGATGCATTTTCCCCTGTTCAACACAGACACCTGTGGAGGTAGGTGTAGGGCAGGGGCCAGGCTGGATGGGGTTGTGTTCTACCCAAGGCACATCTTGTCTGTCCTCTAGTGTCTGATGGTCCAGAGCAGGTGGGTAAGGAGCCATCACCCTGTCCACCTGTAGACCTCCTGGAGGGTGCTATGCTCTCTGTACTAGTCTTGGGTGTTTCTGTGTGTTGCCTCCCTTTTTTGGAGTGTTCTTTCCCTGCTTGGATATCTGACTCCTCTAGCTGGGCATCACATATCCTTCATCCAGTATCAGGTGAACAGTTGCTTGGAAGGCCTAGCATCCAGGTTGAGTGATTATCTTAGTCCATTTTGTGCTGTTGTAACATAGTGCCTGAGACTGGGTAATTTCTAAGAATGGAACTTACTTCTTATACTTTTAGGGTCTGGGAAGTTCAAGGTTGAGGGGCCTGCATCTGGCAAGGACCTTCTTGCTGTGTCATCTCACTGTTGAAGGCAGAAGTGTGAGAGAGAGAAAGGGTTAAGGGGGCTGAACTCATCCTTTTATAAGGAGCCCACTCCCAAGTTAACTAACCTGTTCCTGCAATAACATCATTAATCCATGCAGGAAGGCAGAGCCCTCATGACCTAATCACCTCACAAAGGTCCCACCTCCCAACACTGTTGCACTGGGAAGTGTTTCCAACACACAAACTTAGGGCACATTCAATTGATAGCAGTGGCTCGCCAGGGCCTGATCCCACCACTGCCTGCACTGGACTTCAAGGACCTCTTACCTTGTCCACATGCTCCCAGGGTGAGATTCCCATTAAGAGACTATGTACACCTGTCTTCGTCCTTTATGTAACAAACATTTGTTGTTCACTGGCTCTGCTTCAGCCGTTGTTTCGTGCCACGCAGACCAGAATAGAAGAAAAATTCCTCATGTGGAGCTTTGTGTAGATAGGGGATGTAGATAGTAAAAATATAGATACATTCATGGTTTAATGAAGCTTTATAAAGTTAAACCTTAATCTGTAGGGGCCAGGTGCTGATGCAGCTGGACCCACATGGGAGAGTCCTGAGTTCACATCCCAGAACCCCTTTGAGTGTACAGGTATATGTGTGTTTGTCCATGATCTGAGCCACCTGGCCCTGGGGCTGGATCATGGCCTGGGGACTCTGTTGGAACTATTTATGTTTCTGTCTCTCTTGTGGAAAAAAAATAATAAATACACACTTTAAAAAACAGAAAAACTTTACAGAGCCAGGTAGGTTTGATTCATGGTTATATTTGCCAACACCTGGGATAAATGGACGAATTTGGTAGAATTAATTGTCCAGACTCATGATGTATTTTCTTTCTTGGTCTGATTATACGTCAGATGAAATTCAGATGTGGAATGACAGATACAGCACCTTCAAACTCGTTGACAGCTATACTCTAGACCTGGTGACACAGCTCCTGGAGGTGTCCAAGAACAACATCAGGAGAAACAAGGAGAATATCCTCAGAGAGATGAGGAATGTGGTCAGGTAGGTGGGAGGCCATAGTAGTCCCTCTGACCCCACCTTCATTCAGTGAAAAACTACTGGAGAACTTTCTCAGTGCCAGGCATTGAGGGTTGCAGGGATGAAAGAAAATAGTTTCTCATCATTTGAGCATGTCTCAGTAGTGGACACAGACACTGAGCAGTGTCAGGGAGTGAAGAGTTTTCTGAAGAAGAATGAAGTAGTGTATATTAATGTGAAGGGCTGTTCTAACAAAGAACCCCAGATTCTGAAGTGACAGAAATGGATCGTCTCATGGTTCTGGAAGCCAGAAGTTCAAATCAAGGTGTCAACAGGGTTGGGTCCTTCTGAGGGCTGTGAAGGAAGGATCTCTTCCAGTCTGCTCTCCTTGGCTTGTAGATGGGTATTTTCTCTCTGTGTCTTTTCACATTGTCTTCCCTTTCTGCATGACCTTATATCCAAATTTCCCCTTTCCTAAGGACAGTAGTCATATGGAATTAGGGCCAAACCTCTAGACACTTCTTGAATTAATTGCCTCTTTGAACATTTTTTTCTGCAAGTACAGTCACATTTGGAGATGCTGGGTATTAGGATTTCAACATAGAATTTTTGGGGTGAGAGAGGACACTACTCAACCCTTAACATAGGGCTGTGGATGAATGACAAATGACCTCCCCATCCCACTCTAGATTGGGAGTGCCAGGTTGGAAAACAATGAGTTGCAGTTAAACAGGTTTTTTGACTGCAGGATTCATCAGATCCTTTAATGAACTAATGTGCTTTTTACAGCTTCAAAGGAGGTTGAGTAAATATTTTCCCCTACATTTACATGACCTCTTAGCACAGAGCTTTTTCAGAGAGTTGTATTCTGCAGAACATCCTTTAAGAAAAGTGGCTGTGCAGCTTTGTGCTCTGACTCTATGGAGACTCCTGGCTCTGGTGAAATCAGATGCTTAGAAACCAAAAAGGGCTATGTGGAAAGTTCCAGAAGTATTGGGTAGAAACAGAAGCATCTGGACAACCTATGGTTGGATTTAACTGAGAGTCTTCACCTTGAATTTGAATAATCCCAACTCTATTACTGACTGACTCAGAGGCTTTCTATGCCCCAATTTTCTCTCCTGAAAGATGAGAACAGTGATACTATCTATATATGTTAAAAGTTGGTTGATATTTTTAATAAAAACATATAAGTAAACTTGATATGAAGCTCATAGTGTGTTCCATCAGTACTTCCTGGTGGAGAAAATGGCTTATCTTTAACTCTGTGTACTACTGTAAGAGGTAAGTCCTAATAATCATGCTTCACTTATAATAAATTGGACTGATGAGGTCGCCAGTGGCTAAGTAACCTGTGCTCAGTCAGCAGCATGGAGAATTAACCCTGATTGTCATGAGGGCCAAATAGGACATCCCTTCCAAGCCTCCTACTAACCAACGCTGAGTCCACCAATGGCTGGTCTGAGCTCCAGACATATCTTATCAGTTGGAATTTAGAGCGTCTTCTCATTCCAATTCTAGAGAACCCCCGAAGTTCCTAGAGGTTAACAAGGATTCACTGGAGGATATGGTGGAGGATGTTGAAGGCTCTCAAGCTATGGAAATCAAGATCACCCACACCACAGCATGACAACTGAGGGTCCCTTGTAAGTTTCCTTCTTGTCCTTTCTTCCCTGTATCCAGCCCTGAGATATCCTCACATATATGTGAGTACTGCATGCTTCAGTGTACAATCTCCCAGTTGAGAGAGACATTGGGGTGAGGTGGTGGCAGAGAAGTAACACAACTAGACCCAGATAGGAAGGTCCTAGGTTTGTGTCAAGGATCTCGCTGTGCACATTGTGCATCTACATGTTCATAATCCAGGTTGGCTAAGAGTGAGGGTGAATTGCAGTGTGAAGACTCTATTGGGAGTGCTGGTCTCTTTCTCTCACAGGAGAAGTAAATAAAATTTTAAAATTAATTTTAAAAATCTCACCTCTTACTATGTGTGATCATGGTAAGATACTGCTCCCCCCCAAGTCTCAGTCTCTTTCTCTGTAAAGATGTTGGCATTTTTGGCATCATAACAGATGGTAAAAACTTAGTTTGTAGAGAGCTTTCCTATTGAGGCCCTGCTTCTTCTCTCAGCCTCTTGTACTTCCCCAGCTGGAGGAAGTGGCTGCTGATCTGATGGTTGAGTCCCCAGCATGGGAACCAGGGTATGTGTTATTCATGTGAAGATGAGAGCCTTACATTGTCTCTCACACCTTTGCTCCCAGACAATAAATCCATTTCTCTTGCTTACATTAGTCTAGGTCTAGCCTTGTTGGGCAGATTGAGTGAAGGGACCATCTGTATCAAGATTGGAAAGTAGAGTTAGCTCCATGGCCTAATGGTTAAGGGAACCAGATCTCACACAACCAACCATGTAGTTAGAATCCTGGCCCCAGCAACTTGAAAAACATGCTGGATGCATGTGCATGCATGCCATAGGTCCCAACAGGATGGAGAAATGAAGAATGAACTTCCCCATTGGGGAGGGTGCTTTCTTTTTCTGGCAAGTACAGACACCCTTCTCCCCTCAAAAAATAGATCACAAAATAGAGGAGAAAAAGTCATTCTGGGCTTCTGAACCAGGCTGTTTCCCAGACAATTTTGCTGAATCCTTGCCTGGGGTGAGGCAGAGAAGTCATTTGCTGCTCATACTTAAGGACCTATATTAGTTTGCTAGGGCTATCATAACAAAATACCACAGACTAGGTGACTTAAATAATAGAAATTTATTGTCTTACTGTTCCAGAGGCTAGAATTTTGAGATCAAGGTGTCTGCAGATTTAGTTTCTTCCAAGTGCTCTCTCCTTGGTTTGTAGATGGCCACTTTCTCCCTGCGTCTTCCCATGGTCTTCCCTCTGGAAGTGTCTGTCATCATTTCCTCTTCTTCTCAGGACACCAGTCATAATGGATTAGAGCCCACTCTAAAGACTTTGTTTTAACTGCATTACCTCTTTAAAGACCATATCTCCAAATAAGGTCACACTCTGAGGTACTTGATGTATTTTTTTTCTTTTTTGCAGAGGTTTTTGCTATAGGGCACGTGTGCTTGCCAGAAAGACAGAGAGAGACAAGAGAGACAGAAAGCAAGACATCACTCCCCAGAGGGGATGGCCACACCGCAGTCACTTCTCCTCCATTCTCCTCTCGGGATCTTGGGCACACATGCACACACACACACCAAGCGTGAGTTTAAGTCACCGGGTCCAGGACTTGAACCGCAGCCGACTACATGGGAGTCCAGCAACATAGCCGTTATGCTAACTGCTGGTCCCCTGAGGTACTTGATATTAGGACTTCAACATATGAATTTCGGGGGTGGGGGCCAAAAGGGACAGAATTCAGCCCCTAGCAGTACCCTAATCCTGTTTGGCCTTGTATCTTGTGCACAAAGCTTTTCCAGTCATATCCTCCAAGAATAGAAGATTCAACCATCAGGTGCCACCCCACACTATGGATCCATCCCATACTTGAACCCTTGAGATACTACCTTAATACATGTTATTTGTTCTTTTAAGAAAGACCCACCTCTAGCCACATTTCCCCCCTCACTGGCTAACTCCCCTTCCTACATTCTCAAAATGATCCTTCAGAAGAGGACTTCAGGGAAGTCTGTCTCCATGCCTCAACCTATGGGAAGTTTCCTGTCTCTTACCCCTCCCTACTCACTGACTTCTCTCAGGTTGAGCTCAGGGATATTGATGCTTATTTTTTGAGTCTCTTTCCTTGGTGTGTAGCGCTGTGGGTTGGGGACCACACCCTTTTATTCACCATGGTGTTCATTCATTTATTTATTCCATAAACACTTACTAGATGCCTATCATATTGTCATGTCAGGTACCATCCCTTGGCTTTCAAACAAGTCAGACAAGGCTCTTGTTCTCATGGAATTTGCATCCTCCTGGGTGAAGACATGAGGTCAATGGGTAAACAAATGAGTCAACAGGATAGCTATGGAGAGTGCTAAGAGACATAAAGACAACAAAACATGGTATGTGCAGAAAGTTAGTGAAGGTCTCCATGGGAAAATGAATGGTGTCTGGGAGGCATCCTCAGGAAAAAACCTTTGACTTCTGGCTGAATGCTGAGAAGGGATGGCCATGAGGAAGTCTGGGGGAACAGAATTTCATACAAAGGGAAAGCAATTGCAAAATCCCTGGGGTAGGAATGAGCTTGGCCTATTTAAGAAATAGGAAGGGGACCAGCAGTTAGCATAATGGCTGTGTCGCTGGACTCCCATGTAGTCGACCGCAGTTCATGTCCCAGACCCGGTGGCTTAAAACTCACACCGGGCATGTGTGCGTGCGTGCCCAAGATCCTGAGAGGAGAATGGAGGAGAAGGGATTGTGGTGTGGCCATCCTCCCTGGGGGGTGATTTCTCGCTTTCTGTCTCTCTGTCTCTCTCTGTCTGGCGAGTGCATGCACCCTATAGCAAAAACCTCTAAAAAAAAGAAAAAAGAAAAAAAAAAGAAATAGGAAGAAGACTCATTGCTGGATGGAACTAAATGTTATTTGAGAGATGGACAGAGATCAGGTCTGTGTATTGGCAGGTATTATGATCTATGCTGAAAAGTCAACTCCTTGGCCAGTTTCTGTCACATGTGTTTAGTATTTATAGCACTGGGCATAGGAATTAATATTTATGCAGTAAATGTAGACCACAGGAGCTCCACAGTTGGTGGTTGAGAAGGGATCAAATCTAGATATTCTCAATGCATGAATTTCTCTCTCCTGAGTCATGTATGAATCAGGTAGAGACTTACAAGTCTTTGAATCTTGTCCAGTGTACAGTGATACCTACAAAGAACAATGGTGATTTCTAACCCTGCTTTTTTTCCAGGCTTTACTGCTGGAATGGACATGCCCAAGTGATTGCACCTCCTGTTCTTCCTACAGAGTCCACCATCATATTCTCCTTCATGAAGATGAGTTCTGCCCAGGGCAGCATGGGCCTGCTGGTACACTACGGCCTGAATATCTTTCTCATCTTCCTGTTCTCTGCTCCTTTCAGCTACACCTTTCACAGCACCAAGTTACCTTGACTGTATTAACCAGATCAGTTACCACCTGGAGCATGTCTTTGATGGCAGCATTCAGAATAAGGAGCCCCAGGAGCTAAAGGTGGTGAAATCTATCCTGCGGATCTTTCAGAAAACCCTGGAGCAGGAGCATGAGTCTCACCATTAGAGACATTATGTCCAACATCCAGGCCAAAATGAACATGGTGGTCGAGACAAGAGCCATTAATTATCACACCCCCAACCAGAGGGCTAGCTCTGCAGAATTAAGAACTTTGGCCTAAATCATGGTTTCTCTCTCCAGAGTCAAGTGAAGCTCTGTAAATACAAGTGTTCAATAAATGCTTGCTGCCTGACTGGTGGATTGACTGAGCCTGTGTGTCTTGATCTGCTGCCATCCCTATTGCACCCCTATTTTTACCCTTGGCGCACCTTCTTTCTTTATTTCCCATTACTTTCCTACATCTTCCCTTCTGCTCTTTCCTATGTTCCCCATTTGTCTTCCTCTCATCTTTTCTAGGTAGACATATTTCTTGACCATCTTATCCATTACCCTGTTCCCTCCTCCCTTTTTCTATTCCTTTTTTCTTTATGTCCTTTCCCAACTATGATTCAGTGATTAAGCAGGAGGGTTCCATAACTGGTTTTCAATCTTGCTTTCTCTACCTGCTTATCACGAGAACTCAGGCAAGTTCCTTTTTCTCTGTGCCCCAGTTTCATCATCTGTAGTATAGACAATCATGGTACCCATACCCTTGAGAAGCTTAAATGAGTTCACAAGTCTTAAGACCTTAGAGCAATCATAAGCCCCAAAACTCTGGGCCATGCTGATCCTCTACAGGGATTACCCCCTCACTTCTCTGCCCCACTGAAACTCTGGATCCCCACACCAGGTGGCCTTTCATCCCCTCAACCACTGAATGTGGACACACATAATATAATCCCTTTGGGTTCTGACATCACCATGACTTGTCACCTTCCCTACCTAGTATTCTGAAAACATCAGCCATTATTATTAGTAGTAATCCAGTGGATTTTCAAAATTAAAGAACAATTATAGCTTGGATTGGGTCCTCCTGCCCCACCCCCTAAAAAAACCAGATGTTGATGTTGTATCCCCCAGCAATAGTAAATGTGACCTTATATGGAAATATGTCTTTACAAATGTGACCTAGTTAGAATGAGATCATTAGGGTGGGCTCTAATCTGTTCTTATGAAAAGAGGGAATTTGGACAAAGAGGTAGAGATATGCACAGGGAGAAGGCCATGTGAACATGAAGGCAGAGACCAGGGCAACACATCTATAAGTCACGGGGAGCCAGAGATCACCAGCCACCAGTTATCCCAATAAAGACTTTTACAGCAAAAGGGTTCAATTCTGTTGCATTTGGTCATGTTTCCTTCATCTTCTCTGATCTTGACGAGTTCCTCAATTTTTCCTCCAACTTTCATGACTTTGACATTTTTGAAGGTTACAGCCCAGTTACTTTGTAAATCATTCTTCCATTGGGCTCGTCTGGTGTATTCTCACAACTAGATTTAAGAATATCACAAAGTGATGCTGTATTCTCATTGCAGACCATCAGGTGGTGTGTAATTTTGATGTATCATGTTATGGACGATGTCCATTTTGATTGTTTGGTTAAGAGGGTTCTACCAAGTTTCTCCAATGTAAAGTGACTCTTTCCTGTGAAATTTAGTTTTTTTGGTTTTTGGAGTTTGTTTTTTGTTTATTTTTTTCCTATAGATCAGGTGTTCTCACTGGAGAGAGACATGAAGAGAGGGAAAGTGAGAAATCACCCCTAGGGGAGATGGTTATGCTGCAATCCCTTTACTTCCATTCTCCTCCTGGGATTTCAGGCATGCATACCCACCTGCCTGGCATCATTTTTAAGCCACTGAGTCTGGGCTCAAACTGCAAAGTCAACCTTGTAAGATCTAGTCACCTCAACCTACATGCCATCTGCTGGCCCAAAATTTAGTATTTTGTAGGTACTTTAAGCTATGTAAATATAAAACTCTACTTATCTCATTCTATTTCCCCCCTTTCTCTATTGGCATCTCCCTTTTTCCACAGTGGGAGATGTGGCCCCCATTACCGTTAATAGAATCACCACGTGCAACCAATCTCTCTTTTCTGTTGCTGGCCCACACCCATGGGGATGCTTTCCACACCCTACACCCTGCTGCCTCCGTGAGTGAATGTTCTTTTCACTCTGCTTGGGTGATGACATCCCATACCAGATCCCTCAATTGTGGGATCCTTTCCAATCCATTTACAGTACAAACCCTCACCCCATACAATGCCTGCTTATAGATACCTTCTTCACTCAGCTCATGCCCCAAGGTTCTACACCAAGGTACCCTTCCATGGGTTCATACTCACCATCTCTGTCTCTAGCACTCTAGCCATGCTTCCCCTCTATGGGGACTCCCTGCCCGCCCCTCTGCCCCATCAGAACTCTGGCTCCTCAAGCAGTATAACATGATGTTATGTGAAGCTAATCCACAAGGGGAGGTTCCAGGTTTGCATACAGAGATCTCCCTGGGAATTCCAGACACACACATGCCTATGATTCAAGGCTAACTGAGTCCAGGAGAACTGCAGCATCAAGACCCTCTTAGGGGTGCTGTTTCTGTTTCTTTCTCTTGTTCACTCATGGAAGAAACATAGAAATAAACATTTTTTATTTAAAGTTAAAAACAAAACAAAACAAAACTCTGGCTCCTCACACCAAATGACCCCTATTCCCCCCAGTGTGAACAACCTCATTACCTCTTGGAATCTGACATCACCGTGACTTTATACCTGCCTTACCCCATTGCTGCCACCACCTTGCTCTTCATTGAATTATTAAGGAAGGACAGAAGGGAAAGGATGAGCAGAAGAAGAGCAAACATCATACTCTTAGTCATTACACATGCCTGTTCCTGCAGTCCTGTTACCAGGCAATTCTTGCATCCTGCTCACTTGCACCTGTTCCTGTTTTAGGAAAGCTCCTTGAGGCTAGGGGTCATTTCCTCTTTGCCTTCATTGCCCAAAGGCCAGGCTTAGAGTATATACTCAAAACACTTGCTGGAACATCGAATGAATGAATGCTGTCTGCTCTAATCCTCATTTTCAAAGTGTACTTTCCCATTCTATTCTGGGGATAAAAAAAAGTCTCAGAGCCTGAGACTGACTGTCTCCGCCCATCTCACTCAAGCCAAATGGGAAGGCAGGAACAGCTCTGATCCCTCCCCAACTCAGATGGAGATTTCCCATCCAGCTGTCACAGCTCTAAGTCACAGGAGCCCAGGAAGAGGCTGAGAGGCAGAAAGAGTTGGCAAAGGCGTGATATAGAAAATAAGGAGGCTAAGCCACTGAGGGGGAGCAAGAGGAGGGGCCGTCTTGACACTGGTGCCGGCTGAGCTCCACCCCACCCACTCCATGCAGTTTCCTGTGGGCCCTGCTTGCATCTTCTTGAGGAAAGGCATTGCTGAGAAACAGCGGGTGAGGTGGGGGATAATGGGGAAGGTTGGCGGGTAGGGCAAGGGGAAGTGGGACATGATTTAAAAGGAGAAGACATATGGTACAATGCAACAGGGGGAACAGGTACAGAGAGCACAAACTGAGAATAAAGAATTCCAGGGTATGGTGGGGTAAGAGTCAAGTGAGCTCGTGAGATAAGTGGTCTATGACGCTTAGGGAATGAGTGTAAATTAATTTTAAAAATGTTTCAGAAATAAAAAAATAAAATTCAACAAAAAAGGGGAAGATGAAGGAGAAGAAAAATTAAAATAAAAGGGAAACTGGGGTGATATCACTGTTGAGATCATTGTCATTCTTTCTTGTGGACATTCACGGTGATGATGATAGTGACAATAATGACGACAATAATAACAACATGCTACCACTTACTAAGTAGTTGCTATGTGCCCAGATTGTGCAAAGGGCTTTACGTTTCTGATGTCATTGAAACTCATGAGGTTGGGAATACTTTCATAACCATTTTACAGCCAGAGGAAATGAGGCTGTGAGTCATGAAGTCCTTTGCTTTAAACTTACATCGTTAACGAGTGAATTAATGGTAGGGTCAGGTCTGTTTGATTTCTATAGGCATGCTTTTAATTGTTAAGATTTTAAGATCACCAAAAGAGAGAGAAAGAAAAAGAAGAGATTACAGAGAGGGAATAAGGAAGAGAAGCTGGGAGAAAGGCTCCAAGGATACGGGGAGCTAAGAATTCAAAGGAGCCAAAGGTAGAGGTTAGTAAAACTTCAAAAATATACATTCAAGCCTGCCTCTTCAGGTATGTCCAGGAGTGGGTAAGGCAACAGTGATCGGCAATTTCAGAAGTTTCAAAGATTGGTCATGCTGGTCATTTGGCCTGAATGCCACTGAACCCTGTTCCCATGCAAAGGGATTCTAACGGTTGAGAGGAAAGATGAAGACAGGTTGAAAAAGAGTCACTGGAGTGCATTGGAAAGAATGCTGAAACCATGAATTCAGACACCGGTTCTGTATTTGGCTTGCTGTCTGAACTCAAGGGAGTAATTTCTCCTTCCCTTGGGAGGGAAATGGCACTTATGTGCTGTGTGACCTTGGGAGATTCCTTAAGCTCTCTGCTTCCCCATGAGTAAACAGGAATGATCTGTGAGTCTGCCTCACAGATAAGAAATAATTGTGGAAACTTCCCAGTGGATTTTGACCATGTAAATGGTGATTGCATTGCTGTCTTCACCTGGAGAAGGAGGGGGTTAGACTTAGTGTTTACAATTCTTTTCATCATAATGCGATGAGTGTGTGTCTGGGAAAGACAGAAGAGAGAGAGAGAGAGTCAAAGATGGGAGGGAGGAACTGAAAGAGGACGAGGACAAGCATGAGGAGCAAATAGCCATGAAATGAGAATCGGGAGATGGAAGAAGAGAGTTGAGGGTGTGGAGGAGAGGAAAAATGGGAGGAGAAACTAGAGAGGGTGAGGAGTAGCTGAGAAAACATGTTTGGAGAGGTGGGGGTAGGATTCCTAACCTCCAAATTCCTTATTCTCTAAATTCTTTTCCAGGAAAGACCACTGGGACAAGATGAGATTGAAGGTAGTACCATCTTTCCCAAACGCCCTCACATTGCCATCCACCCACTGAATCAGCCCTTAGTCCCTCTTTGAATTTCTGCGTAAATTCCTTCCCATGAAAATTTTACACCCTGCTCTCTTCAATAGTAGTTTTGTGGAACTCATTTTCATGACAGCTTACGTACCTAATAAGATATTTAGAAGACATATTCATCCCCAAGCACCTCAGAGACTCAGGAGTGACATATCAGTTTTAGAACAAGTGGAAAATTGGCCATTTTGAGATTCCCCATAAGTTTTTTTTTTTCTATGTTGTCTATATGTTTTTTTTTTAATTTTTAATGTTTTCTTTTTATTTCTATTTCTTTTATACATTCAATCATGTTACTTAGCTTACAAAGTGAATATTCCAACATGTGTACATTTCTCACCAGTCCAGTTCACCATACTAGAAAGTTATCTTCCTCTGCTCCTTCACACCCTCTTCCCACATTGTATCTGGTATTCACAACCATTTACTTAGTTTCTATAGCCTTCAATTGTTCAGTTTCGGCCATAGAGTGCAAACACTCGGTATATATTAAGTGGAGGTTCCCCGTAAATTTAATCAGGAATTTGGAGAACTTCAGTGCTCTTGTTTAGCAGTCTCATGAATTGAGTCTATTGCTAACAAAATGCATACATAATTTTTAAAAATCATTTTTTTTAATGTGTCCTTTGAGGAGCCTCTAGTCAGTGCCTCACTGATAGTTTCAAGGGATACTACTTTCCCTATTGACTGTTTCAAATGTCCTCAAAGTTCTTCTCTCTTTATTTACAGAGCTCCGGGAAGCATTCCTTGAGTTTGACAAGGACCGAGACGGGTTCATCTCTTGTAAAGATTTGGGAAATCTCATGAGGACAATGGGCTACATGCCAACAGAGATGGAACTGATTGAACTGGGCCAGCAAATCCGCATGAACAGTGAGGACAGGGGATGGGATGAATGACTGGGGTTAAGGGAGGGCCAAGGGTGGAACTGGGAAGGATACAGAGATTGAGAGTTGAATTGGAGATAGAAGGGAGGGCAAGAGGGATTAAAAGACTGGAAGAAAGCAGTTTAGATTATATTTAGAGAAGCCACACTTGCAATGGTTAAAGGTGACTTTGAGAGCTAGATCTAGAGCCAATTCTATTATTTACTAATTGTGGTGATTTTGAAAAATGTGGTTATCCCCTATTCTAGAGTCTCAGTATTCCTCATCTGTCAAGTGAAGATGCTATCACTCTTTACTGATAGAACTGAAAGGAGAGGGTATAGATGTTAATCCAGCTAAAGGCTTAGCCTCTATTAAACTCTTATTAAATGCAAGTTGATACTACCACCACTCAGATTCAGCAGTGGAGCACAAGACTGGAGCTGTACTGAATGATGGAAACAAACTTGGAACTAATGCTGTTGAATAGTGTTGCAAAAGGATGGATTTTTTAAACATAGAGACCAGAGCTAATTTTTAGATAGAAGCTGGTGTAAAGTTGCTCTTGGATATGCTTCTGGGCATGTAACTGAGTAAACAAGATTGAATTCAAAGTGATAATAGGAGTCATATCTTAAAGAGTTGGATGCTCATTTAATTCATACCCCCTCTTCTGCAGATCTACAGATGAGGAAACATATTGGGTTGTCGGAAAAGTCACGACATATTTTTCTGTTTTTCTATGCAAAAATGCATAATGACTGTTCTGATGACCCAATAGCTCTTAACCAATTCAGAGATTTTTTCCAAAGGACAGACAGCTGATTTCTTGAATCATATCACACTCTGTCTACTCCTGTTCATATTAGAGGAACATGAAGACTTGAATTGACTGAGTGGAGAGAGGAGGTTAAGGCAAACTCCTAAAAGACAAAGAGATGGAATCAGTCTATTTCTTGAACTGACTTGAAGGACAAAATGAGGTAATGAAGATTGGAGTCTCACTAATCCTACTTCTTTTGTCCTAAGTGGGTGGTCGTGTAGACTTTGATGACTTTGTGGAGCTGATGACTCCCAAACTACTTGCAGAAACAACTGGGGTGATCGGTGTCCAGGAAATGCGAGATGCCTTCAAAGAGGTGAGTTAAGAGTTTATGGTACCGATGGTGGTCTAGGGAGACCCCAGGGGCATGATGGTTGGGGTGCTGGACTCTCACATGGCTGACCCGTGCTTAAGCCTATAGACCTGGTGGCTTGCTTTCTCACTTTCCCTCTCTCTCTCTGATGAGTGTCTATCAAATTAAAAAATAATGATGATTAATAAGATTAAGTAAATAATTCTTCTTTAAAAAATAATAGTCATTACCATGGACAGAACCCATTGAAACCCATTTTTCCATAGCCATTGTGGAATAGATAAGGAAGGAAAATAACATTTACCAAACATTGCCAATAGACCAGACCCTCTACATATTTTATCTGACTTATGCCTCATGAATAACATTAGAATAAGCAGCCATTTGTCCCAATCATACAAATGAGGAAACTGAGGTCATGGAGATTAAAGATTTTATCTAAGATCCTGAAATCTCCAAAACAACTGTTAGTGCCTGTAATAGGAAAAAATAACCCAAGAATTTGAAATTTCAGGTGGGAACCCAAAGAGATCATCTGGATTTAGCCACTTGCTGTAGAGAGACCAGGGGAGAAAAAAAAGTTTCCTTATATCCCCTGACAAAATACTTTCCTCGATCAGAGACTTTAAACTACACAAGGCAAAAATGAAGGCTAGTGTGGTGTCTAGAAGCAAAGATTCTGGAGCCAGGCAAATATGGGTTCTAATCTCAAGAATTCTCCATCTACTAGTTGTGTGGTTTCTCCTTGCCACACAGGAACACCCTCAGCTCTACAGCCACCCCACTTTCAAATAAAGATGTATAGTTGTGCTCCAAAATAGAACTTTTGAAGACCAAAGAAATGTTCCAAAACTGTAGCCACTGACCACCCAGCCCTTAAAATGTGGAGAGCGTAGGACCACCAGGTAGTATGGTGATTAAGATGCTGGACTCCCACATGGCTGACCACAGTTCAAGTCCCAGATTCAGTCCCTTGAAAATTACAAAAGGCCTATGTGCACGCATGTCCAAAATCCCAGGAGAAGAATGGATTACGGCATGACCATCTCCCCCGGGGGGTGATTTCTCACTTTCCCCCTCTTTCTCTTTCTCTCTCTAGCAAGCATACATGCCTTATGGCAAAAACACTTTCTAAAAAATGTGTTGCATGTGACTGAGTGATTAAATTTTTCAATTTATTTCATCTTGATTGGTTTCAATTAAATTATTTATTTAATTTCCATTTATATTCACTTGAATATAAGTCCAAGTATTTAAACAGAATTATTTCCATTTAAAATGATACTCAATCCAGTTATTGAAGATCTTTCCTCTGGAATAATTTGGGTATGTGCATCTACTTTTTTATCTGTAAACTTTATGATAAGGGTTAAAAGCAGATAAAATATTTCTGATAAAAATCAATTAATGGGATCCAGCACCTTAATTACCATGCCACCTGCTGGCCCTAGAAAGGCAAATCTTTTTTTTTTTCTTTCTTTAAGAGAGATTTTTGCTATAGGGTGTGCCACTCACCAGCGAGACAGAGAGAGAGAGAGACAGAGACAGAAAGTGAGAAATCACTCCTCAGGGCGGATGGCCATGCTGCAATTCCTTCTCCTTCATTCTCCTCTTGGGATCTTGGACATGCATGCACATGCACCTGGCATGGATTTTAAGCTGCTGGGTCCAGGATTTGAACCATGGTCGGCTCTGTGGGAGTCCAGCAAAGTAACCATTATGCCATCTCCTGGTCCTGAAAGGCAAGTTTTTTTTAAGCATCTTGTTCTCTGCTCTGTGTCCAATAAACAGTGCCTTCCACATGACAAGCACTCAATAAATACGTGTTTCAGTCTGAACTGAAAATGCCATGACTATAAAATACATACTGGATTAAGGTGGTGTGGTGATTAAAGGTGTTAGACTCCCATGTATCCGAATGTGGTTTGAGTCCCTGACCTGGCAATTTATTTTCTCACCTTCCCTTTTTCTCTGTTTTTCTGTCTCTCTGGTCAAATTTAAAATAATAATAATAAATAATAATACAAAACACATGGCCAACCACAGTTTGAGTCCCAGACCTGTAGGTTGAAACTCATGCCAGGCACATGTGTATGCATCCCCAAAATCCTGAAAGAAAAATGAAGAAGGGATTGTGGTGTGGCCATGCCAGTTTTCTTTCTGTCTCCTTCTCTCTGTCTCTCTGGTGAGCACATGAACCTTATAGCAAAAATCTTTTGGAAAAAAATGATAATAATAATGAAGTTGAATAAAATAATTCTTAAAAATAGATGGTATAGGAACCAGCAGTTTGTGTAATGGCTATGTCGCTGGACTTCCATGTAGTCCACCGCAGTTCAAGTCCCGGACCCAGTGGCTTAAACTCACGCCCTGGCCATCCCCCCAGGGGGTGATTTCTTGCTTTCTGTCTCTCTGTCTCTTTCTTTCTGGTGAGCACACGTGCCCTATAGCAAAAGCCTGTAAAAAAAAAAATAGATGGTATATTTAGTGTTCTTAGCCAAAGTATGTTTGTATAATTATTATTTTTTCTTTTTTTTTGGAGAGGTTTTCGCTATAGGGCGTGTGCGCTGCCAGACAGACAGAGAGAGACAGAGAGATAGAAAGCGAGAAATCACCCCCCAGGGGGAATGGCCATGCCGCAGTCCCTTCTCCTCCACTCTCCTCTCGGGATTTTGGGCACACACGCACACGTGCCTGGCATGGGTTTAAGCCACCAGGTCCAGGACTCGAACCGCGGTCGACTACATGGGAGTCCAGCGACATAGTCATTACTCTAACTGCTGGTCCCTTATGTTTGTACAATTAAATATGCTATGCTAAGTATGTTAAGTTCACACTAAGAATTTAATATTCTATTATTCTATTTTATGAAATCCAATGTGTGTAAAAAGAATGTAACATATGGGGCCAGCAAGTGGCATGGTGACATTACTGGACTTCCATATGGCTGATCATAGCTTGAGCCCCAGACCCAGTGTCTTGAAAAATCACACTGGGCACATGTGTGTGCATACCCAAGATCCTGGGAAGAGAATGGAGGAAAAGGGATTGTTGTGTGGCCATCCCTCCTGGGGGTGATTTCTCACTTTCCCTCTCACTGTCTCTGTCTCTCTCTCCATGGTGAGCATGCACTCCCTAAGGCAAAAACTTCTTTCATAATTTTTACATAGATTACATGCTGAAATGATAATACTCAGATATACCAGGATAAATAAAATTAATCATTAAAAATTCATTCCACCTGTTCCTTTTACCTTTATTAAATGTAGCTACTAGAAAATTTAAAATTACCCATGAGACTCACTAGTGAGTATTTCTATTGGACAGTGCTGCTCAAGGGACATCACATTCTGGGATGAGGGGAGCTGCAAGTGCCAACACTCTAAGGCAGAAGGAAAGGCAAGAAGCCCCAAGTGCTAGGAGCGACGTGACTGGAGAGAGAGTCACATGAAATACAGAAAGTCTCAGAGTTGGAAGGGACAAGGCCAAGTCACGCAGGGGAACAGTGTCAGGAACTCGTTCTGAGTGAACTAGAAAGCCACTACAGCACTATAAGCAAGGAGTGACAGGGTCTGATGTGTGTCTTACATGAATGTGAACATAACGACCAGATGTGTGGAGAATGTATCATAGTAGGACCACAGCGGGAGCCAGAAGACCAGTTTGGAGGCATTCAGGCAAGAGAGGATGTGGCTGGAGCCAGATTGGACAGGGAGAACTAGAGAATACTTGGTTCCTGGATGTGTTTTGGAGATCGGATGCACTAGGCTTTCCAGTAGACTGGCTAAAGACATTCAGGGAAAAGATCTGGAGGCAGTTCATTAATTCAACACATATGCACCATGTGCCCTTCATGTGGGAGTCACTGTCCTTGGGACGAAGCACACAGAGCAGAGAACAGACACTTACAAATGCATGTCCTCTGTGTCTGGCTTATTTCATTTAGTGTAACGTCTCCTGGACTTATCCATGTCGTTGCATATGGCAGGATTTCCTCCTTTTTCTTTTTAATTGCCAGAGGGAACATGTGCTCAACAGAGACAAAGAGACAGACAGAGAGGGAGAAAGCACCCTCCCGTGGTGCAGGGCCAAGCCACAATCCTTTCTTCTCTATTTCTCCATCTTCATATTTCTCCATCAAGATTTGGGGCACACATGTACATGAACTCAATGCCGTTTTCAAGCCACCAGGGCCCAAATTCAAACTGCAGTCGGCCATGCAGGATCAGCCCCCCTTAACCACTAGGCCACAGGGCTTCCTCATTTGTAAAGTCTGAATAATATTCCATTTTGTGTATGTACGCATGTGTGTGTGTGTGTCTTTCTCCTTCACACAGAAGGAGAAATCCCCTTATATGAGGTTTTAAAAATAATCAAACCCGGAAGCAGAGAGCAAAAAATGGTTGCCAGAAACTGGGGGAGAGAGGTAAATGGGACGACATTACTCAATGGATAAAAAGTTTTTCTTATGCAAGATGAATAAATTCCATGGCATCTGTAGTTAATAAAAGTGCATTATGCATTTGAAAACTTAATAAGAGGTGTATCATGTGTTAAGTGTTCTTATCAAAATGAAACAAAAAAGAGACAGACCTAAGGTAAGTGTTAGAGGTGATAAACGTGCTTTCTACTCTGGTGGCGGTGATGTTCTCACAGGTGTGTGCATGTGTCCAAACTCACCAAATTGCATGCATTAAAGATGTGCAGCCTTTTGTGTATCAATTATACCTCAATAAAGCTGTTTAAAAATTGGGAGCAGCAGGTGGCATAGTGGTTAAGATGCTGGACTCCCATGTGGTGGACCACAGTTCTAGACCTGGGTCCAACAGCTTGAAGCTCATGATGGACGCATATGTGTGTGCCCAAAGTCCCAGGAGAGGGGACTAGCAGATGGCATAATGGTTACATTGCTAGACACCTGCATAGTGGACTCTGGTTCGAGTTCCGTACTTGCTGGCTTAAATCTCACACACCAGGCACATGTGCATGTGTGCCCAAAATCCTGACAGGAGAATGGAGTAGAAGGACTGTAGCATGACCATCCCCCCTGGGGGATGATTTTTCACTTTCGTTTCTCTGTCTCTTACTGTCATTCTGACAAGCACATTCACCCTATGGCAAAAATCTTTCCAAAAAAAACAATCCCAGAAGGAGAATGGAGGAGAAGGGATTGTGTCATGGCCATCCTCTTGGGAGGTGATTTTTTGCTTTCCCTCTCTCTGTCTCTCTGGTGAGCACATGTCTCCCTGTCTCTCTGGGGAGCACATGTGCCCTTGGGCAAAAAAAAAAAAAAAAAAAAAAAAAATTTTTAAATGAATAGAGCACAGAGACTTGAGCCTATGATTGCATCTACTTGGGAAGCTGAGGCAGGAGGATCAGATCATAAGATCATGGCCAAGCTAGACAGCATAATGAGATCCTACCTAAAAATGCTGTCTATGGTAATAGACTTGACTTGATTGTTGCATGTTGCATGCATACTGTGAAAATCATGTTGCATTTTATAGAGATGTACCAGGATTGAATGTAAATAATAAATCATAAAATTAAAAAAATGATAATGATACAAACAACAAAAAAACCTTGTCCTTGAGGAGGTGACATTTTAGCAGACGATATGCCCAAATCTCTCAGCTTAGCCCTTGACCCACAGTAATGACCCATACACATTGACTATTACAGTTGCTGTCATCATTGATGTTGCTTGTATAATCCCCTTCTGCTCCAATTCAGTTTGACACCAATGGAGATGGGGAGATCACCCTGGCGGAGTTGCAACAGGCCATGCAGAGACTTCTGGGAGAGAGGCTCACCCCCCGGGAGATCTCAGAGGTTGTCCAGGAGGCAGATGTTAATGGAGATGGCACTGTTGACTTTGAAGGTAACCTTGCATGGGGCAACCACAGTGGGAACTCTCTTCCAACTCTCCGTGTGATTTTCAAGTTGGTCACCTCATCTTACTCTCTAAGTTTGAGTTTGGATGAGGGTGGCAGGATTTGGAAACTTTGTCCTATCCCTTTTCTCTTCATGTCATTTGAAAGAGTTCAGTGTCTCTCTACCTGGTAGCTCTATGAAACGCTTTGTCCAGAGGTCCCTTCCTACTCACGCTTAGGACTCACTTCTACCTCTCTCATTTCTTCTTTTAATTACAGAAACTGTTTCTCATCAGAAGGAAAGCTAGTAGCTCGGACTCTGGTACCATATTCATGAGCTTCAAATCCAGGATCACCTTTTACCAAGTACTAAGCCTTATCCCGATCCCTCACTTTTCTTAAGTGTCAGTTTTCACATCTGCAAAATGAGAGTAGTAATAACACCTTTCTCTCAGAGTGTTGAAGAAAATGAAAAGAAATCTACACTCAAAGCTGCTTTTGCTATGACCCAGTTCTGTTGTTGGTCATGTCATTCCTTCTCTTGAGACTACCCTTTCTTCTTTCCCCGGGCTGACTCAAAGTTCTGCTCCTAGAGAGTGCCTCCTCTCTCACTGGGCTCATGTTCCTCTTCTGTGCTAGTCTCTGTAGTGGCACTGACCCATGATCTCCCAGTTCCTTATCATAGCTTACCGCCTATTTTCTTTGCTTTGCAGAGTTTGTGAAGATGATGTCTCGTTGAGGAGGTTCTGAAAGCCTCAGACACTCTCCACCCAGTCAATGTGGATCAAGTGCTCGTGGAAGACCAAATTCCCATGACCTTATAAAGCACAGAGGGTGGGAGGGTGTGTGGGACTGGCTTTGCAGACGTATGGATTGAGGTTGACCAAAAGCAATTGTTTTGCCAGGATGAGGGTAGGAGGCATAGAACTAGATTAAGAAGGGAGAATCTGTGAATGGGAAAATGAAGGATAGTGGGTCCAGTTGCCACTCCAAGAACTCCAAAGATTAATGACCTTATTTTACTTCACATAGTCCTAAATCCCTATCACCTGCCAGAGCCTGTTCCCTCACTTCTCCTTGAGGTAAAATAGTCTTTTCTATGTTATATTGTTAAAAGGTCAGCATGCTGTCTATACGTCTCCCGGCTTAATTTAACTGCTTCAAGTCCTTTCATTTTCTCTCTCTTCTAAAAAGGGAGGCACATCAGTCATGGCACTAGAGACAGGGTTCAAGATAAAGTGAAAATGGTTCATTAAAGATAGATGGTGGGGCCAGCAGGTGGCATAGTGGTTACGGTGTTAGACTCTCACATGGTCAACCAGGGTTCAAGTCCCAGATATGGAAGCTTGAAAATCACACTGGTGCATGTGTATACACATACCTAAAATCCCAAGAGGAGATTAGAGAAGTGACTGAAACGTGGCCATCCCCCCAGAGGGCGATTTTTCTCACTTTCTCTCTGTCTCTCCAATGAGCACAAGCACCCTCTAGCAAAAATCTCTAAAAACAAAAACAAAAGAGATGGTGAGAGGCCAGCCTCATGGCGTAATGGCCAGGTGCTGTGCATCAGAAGCCGGATCCCATATTGTTGACTGTGATTGGAATCACAGATGCAGCAGCTTGAAGGATCACACCAGGCACATGTGCATACATGCCAAAATCTGGTTGGGGGAGAGAAAAGAGAAGGGATTGCAGTGTGGCCACATCCCATCAGGGTGTGCCTTCTCTTTCTCTTTCTCAAGCATTTGTCCCCTCTGGCAATAAAAAAAAAATAGTTTTTAAAAATTCAATGTATACTTCAAAATAACTAGAAGAGTAGATTTCGAATGTGCATAACACAAAGTAATGATAAATATTTGAAATAATGGATTTGTTTATTGGCCTGATGTGATCATTACACAATATATGTGTTTAAACAACTACACTGAATCCCATACATGTGTATAACTAGTGTATAGAGAAATAATAACAATAATGATTTTTAAAAGAGAGTTCATTTACAATAGCATCAAACAGAATGAATTTAATTAGAAAAAGTTTGTATTCAAACAAAAACTCGTACATGAGTTTTCATAGCAGCAATTTTTTTTTAAATTTTGCCAAAGAGTGCATACACTTACCAGAAGGAGAGACAAAGAAAAAGAGACAGAGAGGGAGGGAGAGAAAGAGAGAGATAGCCTCCATGGGAGATGGTCTTGCTGAAATCTTTTCTCCTCTATTTCTTTCTTCTTTTCAGGATTTTAGGCATGCATGTACATGCAGCTGGTGTGTTTTCAAGCCACTGAGTCTGGGATTGAACCACACAGGTGGCCATGTGGGATCCAGCTGCCTTAACCACCACACCATTGGCTGGCAAAGCAGCAATTTTTTAATAGTCAAAGGTAGAAGCAACCCAAATATCCATTAATGCAGGACCAGGTGAACAAAATATGGTCTGTCCATATGCAGGAATATACTGTAGCCATAGAAAGAAAGGTAGTACAGACACATGCCGAGTTTGGATGAACTGTGAAACATTAGGCTAAATAAAAAAAAATCACAAGCTACATATTATATTGTTACATTCAAATGAAAGTTCAAAATAGGGAAATCTATAGAGACAGAAATCGACTAGATTTTACTTAGAGCTGGGGATAAGGATCGGTGGGGCAGGGAGGGGTGGAGAGTACAGGGAGTGATAACTAAAGGGCACAGAGTTTCTTTCTGAGGTGAAGAAAATATTCTAAAATCAGTTTGTGACAACTGTGAATATACTAAGAATCACATGTTCGCTTTAAATGAGCTAATTGTATGGTATGTGAATTATATCCCAATAAAGCTGTTTAAAAAAGAAAGAAAGAAAGAAACTGGCATTCACGGCAAGTTTATCCCCTTTTCTTGTGAACAATTTGTGTTTTTCTCCCCTCTGATTTCCATCCCTCTCCTTGTATAAAATACTCAGGGGACTAAATTAAATCACAAATCTGGATTATCAAGGTTTAGAGCAGGTTGATCCCTGGAGAATTAATCCCCTACAAAAAAATATCATTATGCAAATAGAGATGACAGAATTCCTGAAATCCCCAGCAAAGCTGTTCCTGGAAGGCCCCTGCCTCTGTGTCAGTGCTCTGGGCTGCTGGGGGGAGAGGATCTCTCCGTTAGATGAGACGTCTGTTCCTTCCTCAGATCCTGGATCTTTCTGTGACACTTGAAAGATAAGTTCCTCCCAACCTTCACTTGAAAATAGGATGTCTTGGCAATGCAAAGGGCGTCAACATAAAGAACTCATTTAGGGCTTTCTTCCACGTTTTACTCACTGTCTAGTCTAGAATGAGTCACATTATTCAATGGTGTTATTTTATAAAATTGCAATGAAGAAAAACTAGAACCTCAATAACATATCAATATTTCCTAACCTTTTACCTATGGCCACTCTCTTTGTGCCATTCTTCACTATCCTGGGACCATTTTATTTTATTTTTAGAAGTTCTTATTTGTTTATTACTTATTTATTCCATGAGTATGAGAAAGAAAGAGAGATAAAGAGAGGCAGAGAGAGAGAGAGAACCCCCAACAGGGTTGTGATGCTGATCCACCCCCAGCTTCAGCTTGCCCTGCATCATGGGCATGTGTATGCCCGGAGTACTCAAGAAAGTCTCCAGCAAACCCAGAACCTTCCCACGTGAATCAGCCTCACAGAGCTTCATGTTTCAATGCTGTGCCACCATTCTATTTCTAGACCTCATACCCTTCGGTCTTCCTTCTCTCTTTTTTTCTTTTATCTCCCCTTTCTCTATCCTTCATCTCTTCAATAGCAACGTATTAAGTGTTCACTATCAGCAAGGCACTGGTCCAAGCATAATAAAATAGGCAAAATCTCTAGACCCCATGACCTAACATTATAATTGGAGGAGAAAGACCCTGACGTGAAAGAAGAGGGGGATGGGAGAAGAGGAGAGAGCAGCAGAAGCAGCACCACTACGTATAATGAATTTGCATCTGGGTTCTGACAGAAACATCTCTAACCAGTTATCATTGTCTGCCATGGGCCTGGAGGAAAGAAACCTTTGAGGCAGTCTTACAATGATTTTTCTATCCTCCATTTACTTATTTATTAATAATTTAATAATTATTTACAAATGTTTCAGCTAAATCTGTGATTTCTCAGAAAGAGATAGCAGGTTGTGATTACTTCTAGTGTTCCCATGCAAGGGGCCTGATATCCCCACCAACAACTGAGCCACCAACTTTTCTTTCCTCACACTTTCACTGTATCTTTCATTCTAGAAAACAGAAAAGACAGTGCCCGGGTTTAATTTAGGATTCTTTTATTGGTGGTAATACCACATTTTCCCTCTGTTCTTTGCAAAGGACCAAGTGATTGGGTATGATGGTGGAGGAGGTATTTCTAAAGATGATTATTTAAGCTTACACGATAACAATGGAAAAGACAAAGCAGGTCCCAGCTTCTATGTGGCAGTCTTCCTCTGTAGAGGTTCCTCCTTTCCTTGAAAACAGTATCAAAGGCCAGAGTTAAAGTGACAACTGCATTGGCTCAAAATGTACTGCAAATTAAAAAGTGACTTCTATTGATTTTCCACACTCAGAAGTAAGTGGAAGCAGCTCATCCAAGGGCTGTTAAACATCCTCTACCCCTCACCTGGCTCAAGGGAATAAGTCAGGTAATGAACAATGAATCCCTCAACCTCATCACAATGGTAATAAGTTTGGTGGGAGAGAGACCCATAGATGACAGTCCTGCTGTGATGGACAGAGGGTGAGGAAAGACAAAGATGAAGACAAAGAAGAAGTACAACAACAACAATACAATATAAATTTGCATCTAGGTTCGGCAGGAAACAGATTCAGTTATTAATTTTTTTTAAGTTTTTTTTCTATAGGGTATGTACACTTTCCTGAGAGAGACAGAGAGAGATGGCAAGAGAGAAAGTGAGAAATCAACCCCCAAGGGGGTTGACCACACCACAGCCCTTTCTCCTCCACCCTTTTCCTGGGATTTTGGACATGCACACACACATGTGCCCAGTATGTGTGTGTGTGCATTAAAGCCACTGGGTCCAGGACTCAAACTATGGTTGACCATGTGGGAGTCCAGCACCTTAACCACCATACCATCTGCTGGCCCCAAGTAATTAATTATTGATGTCTGGTTTAAGCATGAAGGAATAGTTGAGAAAGTCTTGCAATGAATTTTGAGACTAGGTACTAAAAATACAGCCCTAGCTACAGACTGAAGATCACTTGGGTGTTCTTTAATATCCAAGATGGCACCTAGAGTTCCAAATCCTCTCCTTGGCATCCTCTGTTCAGGGAAGATAATTTTCACTGGCAAGTTATAATTCATGAAGAGTTACTAATGCGGTTCATCCATAAGCCACGTGCATCATAAGGACAAATATTACTTAGAACCACCAGAGGGAGGGGAAGCAGAGTTTTGTCCACACATCTGATAAAAGAGTTTCTCTTTACTTCTGGATTCCCTTTACTTTTGGATTCCAGAAGTTAAAGAGTGATTATGTCAATTGATCCACACAGGAGGTCTCCATCTAGAGAGAATTTGTATAGGGTCGAGAATACAAGATAAAGCCAGATGGGAAAGAGCAGAAGAAAATGAGAAAGAGTAGAAGAAAATGAGGAGTCAAGTTGGTCTTGCAGAGATAGTCGATGACTTATGGGCTGTGGTAGGGGAGGCGAGAAGTAAATTCCACTTTTCCTCAGTTATCTATTCAATGATGGGATTGTGGATCAACAGTATGGTGATGTGGGACCAGAGAAGCCTAAGTTATCCTTCTTAAGTTATCTTAAGTTGTCTTTTCATATCATGTTCCAGTTTGAGGAATTCTATTTCCCTAATTTTTCTTCAGCCAATGCCTTCCAGACCTAAAACTCAGAATGATGCCTTTCTGAGTCTGAAGCAGTTTGCCCATTTCCCTCATCTCTCTCTCTCTCCTGCTTGCCAGAAAAATCTCGGTTTCATCTCAACCCCATCTTAGTTTTGGAAAATGGAGCCCACTGTGCTGGAAATCTCAGCTAATCAGACATGGTAGGAGAAACAGATCTAATCTTCACATCAGCAATACCCGGGTGTGATCCCTGACCTGCCTTTGTGTCAGCGAGGCACCTCGATGTGCCACCTAGCCACCTCTCTCACCTTAGCATCAGCGGTGCACCCAGTTTTGGCCCCTGCTCTCACCTTTGCATCAACAGTACACCCAGGTGTGGTCCTTATCATAGTTGTAAGAAGTTGCACACCATAATTGGTTCTTCTTTGATCCTTTGTTAGTGCAGTTAAAATAATTCTTGTTTTTATAGTTGAATGGGAAGTGGCAGGGAAAGCCAGCAACCAGTGAGGAAATTCCTGGGGAGAAAAAGGGAGATAAGACAGGTTATTCCCGGGGCTTTTATACCACAGTGGCATCTTGGGCTTCAGAACTCATCCTAGATTAAAAACTGGGTAAACACTGCATGTATGGTTGTGCTGTTGGCCATTGCTCAGAGGCTCCCATTGGAGGGGTGAATTCTGACCTAAACCTAGATGTCAGAAGACTGTTGCATTGCTGAATTTTCTTTCCTCAGAAGCTACTTTTTTAGTTAAAAATTAATTAGTTAAAAAATTTAAATGATTGACATTTAATAATTGTACATATTTGGGGGATATAATGTGATTTTTCAGTACAAAGATACAATGTGCATCGATTAAGTCTGAGTAGTACATACACACCACATCAGCCATTTGTCATTGCTTCATGTTGGAAGCATTCAAAATCTTCTTTTTCAGTTACTCTGAGATAGACCATAATTGTTGTCAACTATATTCACCCTATTGCATTTTATCATGCCAGGCATGACTCCTCTTATCTATCTATAATTTTATTTCTATGAGTCAAAATCCCTCTACCCTCCCTCCACCTCTCATGTTCCTATCATTCCCAAACTACAGTGTCATTCTTCATCTCTCTACCTCTCTGAGGTCCTTCCTTCAATTTACACATATGTATGAGAACATGTGGTATCTACCCCTCTGTACCTGGCCCATTTAACCCAACACAGTGATTCCTGGATGAGTAAGACTCATGCTGTTTGAGTTTAGGACTTGGGGAAAGGTGGAGAACAGAATGGGGAAATGGAATAAGGACCAAGGACAAAGGGAAACCCATGGATCCAGAATGCAGGTGGGAAGGACAATGTTCTAGCTCTAGGAGGATGGAGCGGTAGACTGGGACCCACCGGAATCCACAGAGGATAAATTTCAGTGGATCCTTATTATTCATAGATTCTATATCTGCAAATTGACCTGTTTGCTAAAATTTATTTGGAGCCCCCCAATCGATACCTATGTAAAAGCACACATTTTCAGCTGTGGTCAAGCAAGGCTATGCTCTGCCTTCTCGTTTCAGTTCTCACCCTGTGAACACGTACTCTGTCCATGCTCTAGTGCCATGTCTTTTGATGTTTCATGCTTGTTGCTGATGTCACTGTCTAAAATGGCTCTGAGCATAGGGTCGGAGTGCTGTCTGGCGTTCTAAGCCTAAGAAAGCTGTGATGTGCCTTATGGAGAAAATATGTCTCTTAGATAAACTTCTTTCCAGTGGAGTTGTAGTGCCAACCAGCTGTGAGTTCAATGAGAATGAATCAGTAATACATACTATGTAAGGTCTCTTTAAATAGAAACACACGGGGACCAGCAGTTAGTATAATGGCTATGCTCTGAACTCTCATGTAGCCAACCGTGGTTTGAGTCCCGGACCCGGTGGCTTAAACTCACACCAGGCACATGTGCGGGCGGGCCCAAGATCCCAAGAGGAGAATGGAGGAGAAGGGATTGTGGCGTGGCCATCCCCCCTGGGGGGTGATTTCTCACTTTCTATCTCTCTGTCTTTCTGGTGAACGCACACACCCTATAGCAAAAACCTCTAAATAAATAAATAAATAAATAGAAATATACGCAGAATAAGGTATTGATAGGTTGACAAAACTGCTGTGACCAGACACTTAAAGGTCTTAACCCTAGTTCAGTGTTTGCAGTGACTTTGTAAAACATAACTATTGAGCTATCAGAAAAGTCATGGGATATTGTTGCCTAGAAAACTATGTCATGACCTTTCCAACAACCCAATATTTAGAATAATGAGAATTAACTGTATCTTCCAGTGTGAGCCACTCTGAATTCTAGCTCATTCCTCACCCATGGACAACCTTCCACTCCACAGTCCTGGATACATGCAAGATCCCTGAACAGGGGTTGGAGACTCAGACAACTTACAAGGAAATGAAAGTATGAAGGGAGAGCCTTTTTCTTGGACAAAATGATACCAAACCGGGATCCACTGACTGTTGCCCAAGAGTAGATTGACAAAGACACATTGTGAATGTTTGGTTTTCTCTCTCTGAGCTTTCTTCCCTGATCACCTCACCAAATTTAGGTTTGCTATCTTGTGATGACAAAAATTATCCAAAATGTGAAATAAGGCCAAAAGATTGCCACATGACTTTTTAATGTCAACCTAGAATATGATCTAACAAATTCTTTTTTTTTTTTGGAGAGGTTTTCGCTATAGGGTGCGTGCACTCGCCAGACAGAGAGAGACATAGAGATAGAAAGTGAGAAATCACCCCCCCAGGGGGGATGGCCACGCCGCAAACCCTTCTCCTCCATTCTCCTCTCGGGATCTTGGGCACGCCCGCACATACGCCCGGCCTGAGTTTTAAGCCACCAGGTCCGGGACGCGAACCGCGGTCGACTATGTGGGAGTTCAGAGACATAGCCATTATGCCAACTGCTCGTTCCCTGGTCTAACAAATTCTTGACTGACATCTCATACTCTAGAATCAGCAAGTGTGTGTGTATGTGTGTGTGTGTGTGTGTGTGTGTGGTTTTCTTTCTTTTTTTTTTCTTAAGAGAAGATCTTCCTATGTTGCAGTTCTCCTGCCTCATCCTCCTGGGCAGCTGGGACTATGGGAGCAGGCTTTCACACCTGGCTTTTTAGGGTGGGTCAGAAACCAAACCTAGGCATCCCTGTGTCTTCAGCTTGCTGGGCAGCACTGTCCAGTGTGCACCATCACAACTGGGCCAAGCAAATGTTTTCCGTAAATACTTTTTAGCTTTGAGCATCGTACAGTCTCTGTTGTAACTACTTAGCCCTGTGGTCACAGTGAGAAAGTGGACCTGGACAACCCTTAAATAAATGGGCATAGCTGTGTTCCAAGAAAGCTTTATATATAGGCACTGAAATTTGAATTTTATAACAAAATTCACCAATCACAAAATATCCTGATTTTTCCCAACCATAAAAAACTATTCTCTAGTTGAGCATTGGCCCACATTCGGCTTATAGGCTGAGATGGAGTTTCCAGACCTCCGTACTAGGTATAAGTGTTTGACTTACTAATTGCCATAGATTGAAGGCCAAACTCTGAAACTATGAGACATACATAACTTACAGAAGATTGATAGATTGTGAATGATTTTTGTTCAATGCATGTGAGTAATTTGTCTGATAAGCAGGATAACTTCAAAGGTTTGATTACCCTTTAGGTGTTAATAGATTCTGTATAGGCTGAGTATCCTTTATCCAAAATTCTAGGAACTGAAAGTGTTTTGAATTTCAGATTATTTTGGATCTGAGGATATTTTCATGTATATAATAGGATATCTTGGGACCCACATCTAAACACAAAATTCATTGATATTTTACACCTTATACACATAGCCTGAAGGTAATTTTATACAATGTTTTTGTATTGCAGCATTTCTACTGTGACTTGTCACATGAGGTCGGTTGTGGAATTTTCCACTAGATGTTATGTTGGCACTCAAAAAGTTTCTAATTCCGTAGAATTTCAGATTTGGGATTTTCAGATTAAGATTGCTCAAGCTGTGCGTGATTTAGTGCTCAGTATACTTTTCTTCACTGACTATATGAGGGGACCTCAGAAAGCTTCTGGAAAATGGAATTAAAGTGTGAGTTTATCTTGGTGCAAAAATGTCTTGAGATCTCTGCATAGTTTTTTTCATAATGTTCATTTTCCATAAACTTTTTGAAGACCCATCATATACACATCTTGTAATCACCTTTGAATTGCTTTTATTATCCTTCAGTTTCTTCACTAATAGGTTTTTTTAAAACTTAGCAAATGCTTATCAATATTTGTATGACAGGTATACAACCTTATTTTTTTTAAAGGTTTTTCCACAGGGCATGTGTGCTCAACAGAGAGAGACAGAGAGAGACAGTGAGAGGAAAAGTCAGAAATCACCCTCCAGGGGAGATGGCCATGCCACAATCCCTTCTCCTCCATTCTCCTCCTGGGATTTTGAGCATACACATACACACATGTGTACACACACACACACACACACACACACACACACACCCTGCATGAGTGTCAAGAGGCCAGGTCCAGGACTTGAATCACAGTCAAGCATATAGAAGTCTAGTGCCTTAAACACCATACCACCTACTGGCCTCTGTATTCAATCTTTTTAAAATTTTTTATTAGTATTATTTGTTATTTTTATACATTCAGTCCTTATGTATCATTTGGTTTGTAAAGAGATTTTACCCAACATGATATACGCCACACAGCAGATGAGTTGATACTAATATACACATCATCAACAGGCAACAAACCATATCTGTGTAACACAAATGTCTTACTTCTCCCTATTTCCCCAAATTTCCCTTCCTGCACTCTTCCCCTCTCCCACTCTCCTTCCACTTTGTCCTCAGTGTCCATAATCATTTTTAATGCTTTTATGCCCTCCAGTCTTTCAGGCTCTACTGTAGCATGTAGACAGTTGGTATACGTTAAGTGGAGACATACAATGCCTCTGTTTCATAACCTGACTTGCTTCATTCAGCAATAGCTCTTCCATGTTTGTCCACTTTCTATCAAAGGCCATGGTCTTGTTTTTTGTTTGTTTGTTTGTTTGTTTGTTTGTTTTTATAGCTGAATAGTATTCCATGGACAAATTTGTATCGGCATCTTTCTCTTGGATCTTAAAGCTTGTCTCAATATCACATGGTTTCTGCTATTTGTTTGCCAGATTCGTGAGGTCAGGACCCTGCCTACCTTCTTCATCACCATGTCTCCAGTGCCTAGCACTGTCCCAAGCACACAGCAGAGTGCCAGGAGGTGTCCATTGAGTAAATGAATGAAAGATTTCCCCATGCCCACCCAACTTCTTCCCCAAGTTACTTGTGTCAGCGCAGAAGCTCCACTTTCCATCCTTATCCATGTTTTCTGTGGTTGGGCACCAGAGCTTGTTGCTTTCATTCTCAATGCACTCAGAGATCACATTATTTCTGTAGATGGAGGGGAAGATGCAAGGCTTGCTGAAGGAATTCCCCCCATATTCTGAAAATGATCATGAAAGGTTACAAGTCAACAAGAGGAGATTTTAAAAGGCTTTCATTTATCACACAGAAATTAGGAGGGGTCTTCGAGAAGTTCATAGAAAGTGTTATGGAGAACAACAGTGGATTCTAGAGACACTGTAGTAGGAGGATGGAAAATGTTGGAGAGTGAGAGGAAGGGAAACAAGGGAGGGGAAGTAAAATACATAAAAAATAATCACAAGAAAGAAGAAAGGAAAAACGAGAGAGAGAAAGAAAGATGAAGAAAAAGGAGAGAGAAAGAAAAAAAGAAAGAGAAAGAAGAAAACATTTTAAATTATGCATGAATTTCAAAAAAATTTATTTTGTGATAGAGTGCATTGTGTGTGCATGAAAGAGAGAAAGAGAGCTTTTGACAGAGTATCTTCATGCTGCCATCTCCTCTTCCCAACACTCTGCCCCTCACGATCCTGGGCACCTGCATGTCCCTGACATGTTTTCTAAATAATGACATTGATCATATTAAGTAAGGATTATGTATAGAATTAAGATTATATGTTAAGCTGCTTTGAGATGTAGATAGGGGTCATCAATGGGTGAATCTGGCGATTGTCAATTCTACAAACAGAAATACTTGAAATGTAATACCGGGACTATATTCTCAGGACAACTGGTTTTCCATGTGGGAAATAGGGACTTGAAGAACAAGGCCTCAGAACATTCTTGTTTCTCATGGTTGCCATTGTGTACTCTCTGGGAAGACACGTGGTTCCTAGAAACACTTCCTCTAGTAGCTCCACTCTCACCCTGACCAGGATCATTGCTATCTACCCTCCTCCCTACCTCATACCCCATCCTTACCCCAGTGGCTCACCATTTGCTTCACAGTATTTCCACTGCTGCTTCTCATCAAAGCTGGAGGTGACTGAGCACCAGAGCTTTCCAAATAAGCTGCCATCTGTGATGCAGCTTTCATAAGACTTTCCTCGATAGAGGAAGGGGAAGACACAGCGTGGGAAATCTGTATGGAATAGAATTCATGAGTAGTTTGACTTTCTCTAGTCACTCACAGAATAGAGTCATTTCATCCTCAGTCAGTAAATCAGTCATCAAAGTACAACACAAACATCAGGTCCAGGGGCCAGCAGGACCCTGGTGGTTAAGGCACTGGACTCCCACATGGCCAACTACAGTTTGAGTTCCAGACCTGATGGCTTGCTTTTTCACTTTCCTTCTCTCTCTCTCTGGTAAGTACATGTGCCTTATAACAAACTTAAAATAATAATAGTAATAAATAAAATTTTAAAAAGTACATCAGGTCTGGAAGAGACTTTATGCATTCATTTCATCAAGCACTTAGTGCTTAAAGCCTATCCCATATGGTCTCATCCTCAAAGCTTCTCCAGAAGGGTTCCCAGTCTCCATAGTGCCCCAACCTGTTGAACAAACAAGCTTAACATACGTCACATAGTGTCTTATAAGCAACAGACTTATAAAGTCAAGAAGAAGACTATTGATGATTCATGACCAACAGACAAAGTCAAGATCTTGACCTACAAAAAATGTAAAAATAAGCCAGTGAAGTCAAATAAAGGAAAGTTATTACCTAGCATGGGTGCCTTATTGCAACTTATATTAATAGACTGAATATCCCATCACATATACAGTATAAATAATGTTTTCTGACAATATATTTATCATGGGTAGATTTACCCAATGCAATAAGGAATTCGATGTCATTTGGGACTGAAAGGGGCTGTCTAGGTGAAGCAGGGGAAGAAGTGCTGCATTGAACAGGTGACATGGGGAAGCCTGCCATGAAAAAATCTGGGAGAAGTGAGCTCCAGAAAGAGGAAATAAACATGTGAAGGGTTTAAAGACAGAAAGGAGTTCAGAATAGTCAAGGAATAGCATGGTGATCACCATAGCCAGAGTTCCGTAGGCAAAGAAGGGAGTGGTAGATGAAGTAAGAAAGAGGCAAGATACTATAGGGTCTTGCAGACCAAGGTGAAAGTTCTAAGGCATGATGGTGAGCCATGGAGGAGTATGAGCAGACAAATAGCATTACCTGATTTCACATTCTAAAACGGTCTCTTTGGCTGATGTGTGGGGAATAGATTGGAAGGGAGTGAGAAAGGATTGGAGGAAACCAGTTAGCAAATTATTAGAGTGGTTTTTGAGAGATGGGATGAGATCTAGAGTAGGGATCTATTTTGAAAGAAATAATGGGTTAGTTGGTGGATTTGAATATGAGGGAATGACTTCTGTTTTTCTGATTCGTGATAGTACTTCATTTTATTGAGGAAAATTGAAAATTAGAAAAGAAAGGAAGAAAGAAAAAAGCAGGATCGGATGGTGGTACAGTAGTAAAATGCAATGTATATGAGACTGACCCAGATGGAAGGTTCCAAGTTCACATCTGTAGACCTTCCTGAGTACACTGGGCATGGTACCCATGATCCAGGGCTGGTTAATGCTGGAGGTAGATCACAGCATCAAGATTTTGTTAGGGGTGTTCTCTCTCTCCTCTCTCTCTCTCTCTCTCAAGAAAGAAAGAAAGAAACTGAAAAAAATCTTCTGCACAATACTATATTTCTAGTTATATAAACATCTTAAATTAACATCTCAGGGCATTGCCCTATAGATACCTGCTTCTGTTCTATCTCTTTAAGAGATAAGGGTGAAGAGAAACATACTGCAAAGTACTGTTTAGGAGTGCACATACATACCACTTACCATTAGAGTGTAAGGCTAAAATGTTCAAGCTGCTGAAAAGTAGTGATAATAGTTATGGCACCGTGGTAACACAACTAAACTCACATAGGAAAGGTCCTGAGTTCACATCCTAGGACCTCCCTGACCCTGCTGGACATGTATGCACATGCGCCCATGATCGATCTGGGTGAGACTAGGGTGGATTATAGCATGGAGACCCTGTTGGGGGTCTCTACCTCTCTCTCGTGGAAGAAGTAAGTAAATAAAAAAATTTTTATGTAGCAAGAAAGTTATTGATTATAGTTATCGTTCCAAAGAGCAACACTTGGTTCAGAGACCAGAGCCAAGGAGAGGACCTTCAAAAGGCAAGCCTTCATCTAAACAAGAACCCTCAATAATTTGGCCAAAAGAGGTATAGTTGAAAATAGGGGCCAACTCCGTAGTATAATGACTGAGGAAGCTGGATTCCACATGGCCAACCATGGTTCAAATCTTACCCCCAGTGGCTTGAATAACATGGCTGCCACATGTGGATGCATGCCCCAAATCCCAACAGGATGAAGAGATGAAGAAGAAGGGATCGTGGCATGACCATGCTCCACTGAGGGAGTGCTTCCCTTTCTCTCTAAACTAATACCTCTAGGCCTGCCTGTGCTGTAAATATACTTTTGGCACAATTTTGCCACGGTTTGTATGTGCTAAGCATGTTTCGGAACCTCTTTTCCAGATTTTTTTTTTTAAAAAGGAAAATTTCTATTTCTAGTTCCATTTTAAACAGTTAATGCTGATTATGTGCGTTGTTTGAGTTAGAGTGGTGGTTTTCCATTTTCAGCAGGGGGTAATGTTGCTTCTAAGTTCTTTTTTTCCCTCTCTGCATGTGAGGGCACTTTTTATAATCATGTTCAGGTCTTGTAATCAGAGATTCTACTTAACAGTACAAGTCTCTGGCTATTGTTAATGTCTTTGAAGTTAGTTATGATCATGCATGCTTACTACTTTATTATAATTTTCTTTCTTTGTTTTAAAGAGAGTTTTTTTGCTAAAGGGTGCATATGCTCATCAGAGAGAGACAGAAAGTTAGAAATCGCTCCCCAGGGGGATGGCACACTGCAATCCCTTCTCCTCCATTCTGCTCTCGGGATTTTGAGATGCGCACGCGCCCAGGGTGAGTTTTAAGCCACCACTTCCAGGGTTCAAACTGTGGCCGACTACATGGGAGTCCAGCAACATAAACATTATGCCATCTGCTGCTCCCTAATTTTCTTTCTTTTTACTCTGTCTATTCTTGCAGTTAAGAAATTATGTTGGCTTGTTTTGAAACTGTGAGTATAGATAAGTAATATTATTTGCAAATTTCATTTCAGGATAGTGAAAGGGACATTATAGTATTTGTATTATAAAGGGGAGGGGGCCATTTGATCTAAAACTTAAAAACAATGATGCCAGGAAAAAGCAAATCATAAATATTCAAAAATTGGGTATTGGTAGGAGCAATTTAATATCCAACACTGAGTTATTGGTTAAAAATAAATAAATAAATTTCATCTGTATACACAAACACACACTCAGATCCAGAAATCAGATAACTGTCAAAAATGCCTTTAGGGGAACCAGCAGTTAGCATAATGGCTATGTCGCTGGACTCCCACGTAGTCGACCGTGGTTCGCATCCCGGACCCGGTGGCTTAAAACTCACGCCGGGTGCGTGTGCGTATGTGCCCAAGATCCCGAGAGGAGAATGGAGGAGAAGGGATTGCGGCGTGACCATACCCCCTGGGGAGTGATTTCTTGTTTTCTGTCTCTATGTCTCTCTCTGTCTGTCTGGCGAGCGCACGTGCCCTATAGCGAAAAACTTCTCAAAAAAAAAATGCCTTTAGCTTTGAAAATAGTAAACAGAATCTCTCAAATCCCTTTTCTTTTACACTTTGTTTCTTTTCCCCTTATTAACTTAGAAAAAGTAAGGAAGATACAAAGAATGCAGTAGTTCCTTTGGTCATCTGGCCGTACAATATTACAATACCCTTAGCCGGAGAGCACCATTTGAAAATAATGTACTTGGGGCCAGCAGATGACATGGTGGTTAAGGGCACTGGACTCCCACATGACCAACTGCAATTTGAGTACCCGAGCTGGCGGCTTGCTTTCCCACCTTCTCTCTCTTTCTCTCTCTCTCAATCTGTCTCTCTATGGTGAGCACAAGTGCCTGATAGCATAAATTTTTAAAAATAGTAACAATAAATGAAATTTTAAAATCAATTCCAGCACCCATTTAAATAAAATATGTACTTATTAAATTCTTCCTCTACTCATTTCCTCTGTGGACATGTTCAGGCTGGATGGTTAGCAGATGCTGCTTTCAAAGAGAACAGCTGCTACCTTTATGGCAAGGATTTTGCACTCAGTAGTTCAGAGGTCCCCAGACAGACTACACACGGTGGCAAAAGGTGTGGAGTCTCCATTTGTACAGACTAGATTCATCACAAATTTATCAGGTCAAGAATACCAGATAAAGTGTTTCAGCCTTCACCTGGAGATCATGAAAAATATGGCAGGTATCCATGGCACCTTTATAAACTGCTTATTGTTACCAGAATAAAGAGTACAAAAAGGCATCCAAACTGGGAAAAAGAAACATTAAAGATGCTTGGATGCAAAAAAGCACATACTCCTCAAGTTCCTAAGAATATCCCACAGTGAATGCAAAACTGAAAGTAATCCAATACTCTATAAGAATTCAGCCCCTGAAGTTGCTCTGAAGACTCCAGCAGAGGAGGTCTGTCTATCATGAGCCCCAAGAGCACAGGAGAGTTAGTAGTGCAGTCGCACCTGAAGTCTTTGGAGCCAGAAGCTGTGAAGTCCTGATGCCAGAGCTGCTTCAGATTAGAAAATGCAATAATATAAGAAAAGAAAAAAAGAAAAGAAAAAATAGTTTAAATAATAAGTCTTTTTAAAAAAAGAAAACACAAATTGTTGTTATTTAAAGGTGCCATGAAAGTGTTTCATTAAAATATGTTCTTATTGTAAGTCTTTAAGGAACTGGAGACAGTGGGGGAGGAGGGTGAGAGGGAGGGAATCAAGGGGAAGAAGAAAGAAGCAAAATGTTTAAGGGACCCAAAATGTAAAGAAAGCTGATAATGATAATGTATATGGTATTGCTTTTGACTGTACCAATAGGTAGTATATTCATGATGGGAAAATTCATTTGGTATGCTATAGTGATACACAGTGATGAAAAGTAAACATTTTTTAAAAATTAAATAAAGAAATGGAGGAACATGTTTGGAGAGAGGCCCTGTGGGTGTGGGGACTTGCTCTGAGCAATCATCTCCTGTCCCTTTGGGCTATGGCAGAACCTTGCACCTTGTCCTTTCTTTGACCCTTGCTGCAGGCAGAGCAAAGGGTGGAATGTTCTAGGGGCCTTCCAACAGATACATCTGATGAAATTCAGGAAACATCCTGACCCCAATTAGCAAAGTCCAACCCCTGTTCTGCCTCTGCAAGATTCTTTAGCCTTATCAACACCACTTTGATGTTTGCAAGAAAGTAACCTCCCTCCTGCAGTTAGGCTTCTCTCCACTAGATAAGAAGGTTATTGGAATTTCTCTTTGATAGGGTGGTAGCCAAGAGATACAACTGGCCCAGTATGTCCAAGACCTTATAGATTTGTTACCTGCTTCTTATTGTCTGTAACATATCAACTTATCTGGAGTGTCATGAAATACACGTATGTAATGTCGCTTTGCCCTGTAAATAAAGGCACCCAGTTTATCTGGGCAGCACAAGTTGCTTGGGCTGCTTAGACTCAGGCTGCCTGTGTCCACTGCTACTCTGTTTGTCTCTTTTCTTTCTGCTTCCTCTTAGATGGAGCTAAGGCCAGGACAAACACTGACCAGCAGAGGGCATAATGGTTACATGGCTGGACTCCCACGCAGTTAACCACAATTTGAGACCCAGACCCAGAGGCCTCAAACTCACACCAGGCATGTGTGCATGCATGCCCAAAATCCTGAGAAGAGAATGGAAAGAAAATGGGAGAGAAGGGATTATGGCGTGGCCACCCCACCCCAGGGAGTGGTTCTCACTTCTTTCACTTCTTCCTGGCTCTTGGTCTCTGGCAAGCATACATGCCCAGTAGGAAAAACAACAACAAAACCCTCCCTAAAAAGAAAGAAAGAAAGATGTTATAATAAAAATATATATGTAGCGACGGTCTACACTCTTAGTAGAGACTGAAATACTGGAGGTCATAAAAGCATTGAAAATTGTTATGGACAATGGGGAAAAAGTGGAAGGAGAGTGGGAGAGGGGAAGAGTGCAGGATGGGAAATTTGGGGAAAAATGGAGAAGACATTTGTGGGACACAGATAAGGTTTGTTGCCTGTTGGTGATGTGGTGTATAGTATTCTCAACTCACCTGCTATGTGGCATATATCATGTTGGGTAAAATCTCTTTACAAACTAAATGATGTATAGTGATTGAATGCATAAATAATGATAAATGATAATAATAAACTGCTAGAAAAATATATATGTTCTAAATATTAATAAATAAATAAATAAAGTATTTATTTAATTCTTTCTGAAATAGAGATACACACACACAGAACCTTCAATAGGGTCTTGATGCCATGATCCACCCCCAGCCTCAGCCAGCCCCAGATCATGGGCATGTACATGCCCTAGGTACTCATGGAGGGCTCTGGATGCAAACCCAGACCTTCTGTGGTCAGCCTCACAGAGCATTATATTTTATGGCTGTGCCATCATTTAGCCATCCAGAAAGCACCGTTGGTAGCATTATGACCCATTATTAGTATTTGGTGTTTGGTCTCCCAGGTCATAATCTATGCGCATGTACATAATATTCCTATTTTTCCAAAATCTTTTCAAAAGGGGACTGGGGAAGTCATGCCCACAAACATTAACAGACCATTTTACTTTCTATTAACAGGATTCTTCCTACCTCCTGTCCCTGGCATAGTATCTTTGAGATGTATATTTCAACCGATTAGTGTATTCTTTTACTTATGCCTTCCCAAGATATGGAACTTCCCTTTTCCTTGAGATGTAGATTAAGCCTTTCTTTAACTAAGACAGGGATTTTCCCTTCCAATCACTGACCTAAGAATCTGTGGAACCCACCTATAACCTACAACACCCCCCCCTCCCCCGCTTCTACATGTCCCGCCTTTTTGGGCCAGACCAATGGGAAATCTTTTAATTAAATGTTGTGTGTCAATCTCAAAAGCAAATAAAAGGAACCTATGTACATGATCACCCCGAGAAAAGGCATGTATGCCTCTTCTCCGGGCCTAGGTCACTCACAGTTGGCTTGAAAATAAACCGCATTAATTATTAATTATTAATTTTACAGTTAGTTATATTTTTTCCGTCGACACTATAGTTTGCAAAAATATGACCGTGTCTTCCACATTCACACATTCTCTTTTGCAATCCACCCTGTTAAGAACACCGTGAGAAGTACATGTCTGTTGTTTAAAAGCTGCCCGGTATATGAAATTTTCACACTCACCTTCTACCATGCAGTGCTTCCATCTGCCATCATAAACTGCCCTTGTTGCACACCAAGGGGAGAAGCTATTAGTTTTGGTGCAAGTGAAGTAAACAGATTCCTTATAGGTGAAGGGAAAGACACAGTCCTCTTTAATATCTGAAGGACAGAAGGACAAAACAAGAGGAGACAGTCATAAGGAAGGAGCCAAGAATCCAATTTGGTTTGGTTCTTGCTTTGATATGAATGATGGTCCCTCATATGTTGAAGCTGTAACACTCAAGGTGTTAGTAGTTGGGGTCTTTGAGAGGCGATCCCCATCTGACTGGGGTTAAAATGCTTATCAAGAGACCCCAGAGAGCTAGTTGTCCCTTCCACATCTGCTAGCCCCTTCTACTATGTAATGTTAGAAAGAGAAAGTGTCATCTATGAATCAGGAAGTAGGCCTTCATCAGACATGTAATCTGCTGCTGTTTTGATTTTGGTCTTTTCAGCCTCCAGAACTGTAAGAAATAAATTTCTGTTATGCATAAGCTATAAAGTCCAGTATTTTGTTATAGCAGTCTAAAAAAAATGTAGACAGTTCTCATGGTAGTCTGAGCGCTACACACCGAGGAGTAGCACTCGACTTCCTAATGACATGAGAATGTGTCCAGAATATGTCTGGGCCACAGGTATTGAGGAAGAGTTTCAGACTCAATGAAGGTGAGCAAAAATATGTGAAAGGACTAAAAAGTCTGCATAAAAGTGGGACTAAAGTATGAGTTTATTGGTGCAAAAAAATTTTAAACTCACACAAAGGTTTTTTTATAGTATGTATTTTCTATGAATTTTTTTTCTTTTTTTTGGGAGAGGTTTTTGCTATAGGGCACATGCACTCGCCAGACAGAGAGAGACAGAGAGACAGAAAGTGAGAAATCACCCCCCCCAGGGGAGATGGCCATGCCACAATCCCTTCTCCATTCTCCTCTCGGGATCTTGGGCACACACGCACATGGCCTAAGTTTAAGCCACCAGGTCCGGGACTCGAACTGCGGTCGACTACGTGGGAGTCCAGCGACATTGCCATTACGCTAACTGCTGGTCCCAGATCTTTCTGTTCTTCTGTATGAGGACAGGAACTCGGTCATTTCACAGTGTATTCACAGCACCTAGAATAATGGCCTATTCATCATCGGTGATCAAGAGACAGCTGGCAAAATTCGTTCAAAAAATACCATGTGAAATAGGGCTTCTTTAATGAACTCATCAGAAGAGTTTATATTCAAATAAGAATTAAAATACAAAGTATACTTAGTAGTCTCTCTCTCTCTCTCTTTTTTTCTATAGAATGTGTGTGCTTATCAGACAGAAACAGAAAGAGAGAGAGAAGGAAAGTAGAAATCACCCCCCACCAGAGATGGCCATATCACAATGCCTTCACCTCCATTCTCCTCTCAGAATTTTGGGCACACACGCCCAGCATGTTTTTCAAACTAGCAGATCCTGATACAAACCATGCAGTCAGTCATGTGGATTCCAGCTGCCTTAACTTCCATGCTTCCTGGTTGACTCCCAAATATTTAAAAAAAATTTTTGTCATCATTCAATAGCGCTATAGATAAATAGTGCCTGAAATATATACTAAGAAGTGCTGCTCTAGGCCAAGCTCTCCATCACAGGTGGACAGGTGGACCCACAGAAGATAAGGAATGATTTAAAGTCAATATCTTTTTTTTTTTCAGCAAAACTAAGATGAGAGCTTGGTTTCCTCATTTGCTACTCCAGGATCAAAGCTTTCTTCCTTAACCTCATCACCTTCATCCCCTCCTTCCTGCCCTCCCTCTCTCAAAGATGTAATAATGAATTGCTACAAATAAGATACACGGACAAGTGATCTTTGTGTATATGCAGTAGATTGTGGGTGGGAATTATGTTTGCCATTTTTTGGTTTACAGGGAGTCTCAAAAAGGGCCATCAGGTGACTGGTGGTGAAGACACTGGATTCCCACATGGCTGACCTAGACCCTGTGGCTTAAAAATAAATAGATAAATAAATAAATAAATGTTTAAAAAAGAAGTCTCAAGCAATTCTCTGTGCTATAAAAATAGTGCTTTACAAAAACTGCGGCACGTATACACAATAGAATTCAGCCATGAAGAGTAATCAATTCTAGGGGCCTGCAGGTGGTGGATGGTTAAGGCACTGGGCTCCCATGTAGCAACTGTGATTCGAGTTCTGGACCTGCCGCTTACTTTCTCACTTTCCCTTTCTCTCTCTTTTGCTTTCTGGTCAAATTTAAAAAACAACAATAGTAAATAAAATTTTAAAAAGAATAATGAACTCTTGTCATTTGAGATAAATGGATGAAACTGGAAGATACAATGCAAAGTAAACTAAGTCAGGTTATGAAAGACAAATACTGTATGTCCCCACGTACCAAACACTGAATGTCCTCACTCATTGGCGGGTGCTAAAGAAATCAAGGGCATAGAAGGAGGGAAGGTATTGGTTGGTACTTGAAACTGAATGGGGGGGCGTGGTGGAGACATTGAGAGAAATTGGTTAAAAGACACAAGAGTATAAGTAAACAAGTGGAGTGGATTATGGAGCAATGTACCACAGTAACAAACATCCCAGAGAGTGGTGGTGATAGGTTCATAAACAGATAACTATATCTAAAATTGGTAAGTACCTTTATAAATATTAGCTCTGAGCAGTGTAAGTGTGAGAAAGAGTATGAACCCAGGCTGAACCAAGTCTTTATGGGCAATTAGAAGGGAGTAAATCCAGGAAGAGAGAAAACACATTAGGGGAGGATGAAAGGCATGAGCAAAATCCCAAAGACAAGAGAGAACATGGGGTAAAAAGAAATTCTTCTGTCTGTCAGCTGAATAAAGAGCAATGATTCTCCATGGAGGAGAGGAAATCATGCCCCCTCCCACCCCCCAAGGGACATTAAACAGTTTCCGGCCATTTTATGTTGTTAACCAGTAGGAGAGGGCTGATACCAACCAGAGATGTTGCTAAACTCCCTATAACCTACAGAATAGCTACACAGAACAAAGAACCATCTGACCCTAATGTCCACAGAGTCAAGGTTGAGAAACTCTGATTAAGACTAGGCAGTGGCACAGCAGTAACACCACCAGATCCACATGGGAAAGGTTCTGGGTTCACATCCAGGCCAGCTGAGACTTGGGAGTAGAGTGCCATGTGAAGACCCTGTTGAGGGGTGCCTGTCTCTCTCTTTCTCTCTCTCTCCCCCCCTTTCTCTCTCTCTCTTTCTCTCTCTCTCTTTCTCTCTCTCTCCCCCTTTCTCTCTCTCTCTCTCTCTCTCTCTCTCTCTCTGTGTGTGTGTGTGTGTAATGGGAAAAAGAAAAAAAGAAACTTGAAAAGAATCAAACTGATAAGTAAGACTGGACAGAGAACACCGAGGTCCTGAGGCTGGAGGATACAAAAAGAAGAAGGATCTTATTCTCTACATCCCAAAAGAAAGGTTTCCCACCAGACATCTATGTTGAGCTGTTAAATGAATTTGGCATGAACCTCTATTGAGTTAAGCCATGGACATTTGGAGGGTTTACAACAGTTAGCTCTCAGCTGATGCAGAGTAATAAGATACATCTCTGCCTTCAAGGTCTGTAACCTAGCAACCCTGTCCCTAATTCTGGATTTTTACCCTATACAATATGACACAGGCAAGGATGGGTTGGGAGAGAGTGGATGAACCCCATTCATGGGTTGAGGTATTAGAGATCCTTAAACAACACTGTGTTTTCTATGTCTGGGTCTCAGAAGTGTTTAGTCTTGTTTTGTGACGTTTAAACAGTATAGATCTATAACGCAGAGTACCTGGAACATGGCTGCTGCTTAACAAACATTATTATCTGTCACTGTCATCAATATTCTTCCTCAGTCATAGACACCATTGAGTATCTGGAATACTATAACTAGTGGGAGAGTAGATGCCCCTGTACAAGGTTATCCTTGAGAGTTGTTAGTAAAAATCAACACATAATGAATACTATTAGCCATCTGCAAAGTAATCCAACAGATGGCCTAATCTTCTTAACTGAGTCTCAATCCTCCATAATCCAGACCCTGTTGACCTACCCATTCTCACTCCCTGATTAATAGTCTCTTGACCTTACCCCATGTTCTCTTTTGTCTTTGGGATTTTGCTCATGCCCTTCATCCTATCCCAAATGTTTCCTCTCTTTCTAGATTTACTACCTGCTACTTGTCCATAAAGACTTGGTTCAGTCTAGGTTCATACTCTTTCTCACATTTACATTGCTCAGAGCTAATATTTATGAAGGTACTTACCAATTTAAGATATAGTTATCTGTTTATGAACCTATCACCACCATTCTCCGTGATGTTTGTTACTGTGGTACATTGCTCTATAACCCACTCCACTTGTTTACTTATACTCTTGTGTCTTTTAACCAATTTCTCTCAATGTCTCCACCACGTCCCCCATTCAGTTTCAAGTACCAACCAATACCTTCTCTACTTTTATGCCCTTGAATTCTTTAGCACCTGCCAATGAGTGAGGACATTCAGTGTTTGGTACGTAGGGACATGCAGTATTTGTCTTTCATAACCTGACTTAATTTACTTTGCATTGTATCTTCCAGTTTCATCCATTTATCTCAAATGACAAGATTTCATTATTCTTTTTAATTTTTTTTATTATTTTTGCTTTTTCAATATTTTTATTTTTTATTAATTTTAAAAATTATTATTTAGGGAACCAGCAGTTAGTGTAATGGCTATGTCGCTGGGCTCCCACGTAGTCGACCGCGGTTCGTGTCCCGGACCCGGTGGCTTAAAACTCACGCCAGGCACGTGTGCGTGCGTGCCCAAGATCCCGAGAGGAGAATGGAGGAGAAGGGATTGCGGCGTGACCATCCCCCCTGGGGGGTGATTTCTCGCTTTCTGTCTCTATGTCTCTTTCTGTCTGTCTGGCGAGCGCACGTGCCCTACAGTGAAAATCTCTCCAAAAAAAAAAAATTATTATTCATACATTAAATTGCTATATATCATTTAGATTGTGAAGAGACTTAAATTTTGACCAGAAATCAAAAAGAGAGAGGGAAAGTGAGACAGTAAACTGGCAGGGGCAGGACTTGAATCACAGTCAGCTATGTGGGAGCCTAGTGCCTTAACCACCCACCACCTACAGGCCCCTTGAATTCATTATTCGTTATGGCGGAGTGGTATTCTATTGTGTATAAATGCCACATTTTCTTTAGCCATTTGTTGGTTATTGGTCACTTAGGCTGATCTATATCTTAGCTATTATGAATAATGCTGCAGTAAATACAAGTTTGCGACTATCGCTCTATAGAGTGACTTTCCATCCTTTGGAGACATACCTAATAGTGGGATTAATGGATCTACAAGTAGTTCTGTTTTTATATTTGTGACAAACATTTTCTCTTTTAGAGAGATTTTTGCTATAGGGTATATGTGCTTGCCAGAGAGTGAGAGAGAGACAAAAAGTGAGAAATCACCCCCCCACACACCCCCCAGAGGGACTGGCTACACTACAATCCCTTTTCCATTTTCCTCTCAAGATTTTCAGCATGGACACACATGTGCCTGGCATGAATTTCAAGCTGCTGGGTCCAGGATTCAAACAGCAGTTGACCATGTGGGAGTCCAGTGATGCAACCATTATGTCATCTGCAGATCCCAATGAATATTTTCTAAATTCTCCTCATCATCTGACAATATACTCACCTCCACTTGTCTCATAGGAATAGAGGAGGAGGGCCATCCATCCCAGCAGATAACTTGACCATTGGTTCATTTTGGTTGGCCTCTTCTCTCTAGATTAAAAGAAAATAAAAATTTTGTTTCCACAGAACCTCTTCTTCTTCCCACTAACTCTCAGTATTGATATTATATGTGTTGTTTTTCTTTCTATCCCAAGCAGTAATAAAAGAATAATTGGGGCCAGCAGGTAACACAGTGGTTAGGGTGCTGGACTTCCACATAACCAAACAGAGTTCAAGTCCTAGATGGATTGATTTCTCACTTTCTCACATGCGAGTGTGTGTGCTCAATAGAAAATTTAAGTAATAATAGTAATCATAAAATTAAATCAATTATTCTTTTTTAAAAAGAATAACTGAGGGACCAGCAGATGGCATAATGGCTATGTCTCTGGATTCCTACGTAGTCAACCATGGTTCAAGACCTGGACCCAGTGGCTTAAAACACCAGGCGCATGTGCCCAAGATCCTGAAAGGAGAATGGAGGAGAAGGGATTACAGGGTGTTCTTCCCCTCTGGGGAGTGATTTCTATTAATAAATACTTGTCTTTATTGTGGAGACAAAGGTGTGATAGAAATAATAACTTAAGCATCTGTTAAACAATATATTCCAACCAAGATGTCCAACACACTTCATGCTACTTGATTCTCATAAGTCAAGTGATAGAGTTTTTCAATCCCCATTTTACAGATGCAGGAACTATTGTCCAGAGAGATCTGAATTGATTACTGAGTGAGGAAATGGCAGGCCTGGGACTCAAACCAAGCAGTAGGCCATGTGAGATCCCCATAGCCACCATGCCACCAGTTGGTCCAGCATCAACTCTCAATAACCAATCTAGACAATGGGCAAGGAATTAAAAGCCTAGTCACTGAGTCAGGTCATCCAACACATAGGTGGGACCACAGAGCACCTGAGTTATAGAACATGGCCCAAACTTTTTTCTTCCTGTCCCTTAACAGCACGTGACTCTCTTGCTACCTAACAGAGCATCTTTCTCATTTTTTTGTTATTTTTCTTTTTTTTTTAATGAGAAAGAACCTTTTTTATTTTATTTTATTTTATTTTATTTTTTTGGAGAGGTTTTTGCTATAGGGCGCGTGTGCTCACCAGACAGACAGAGAGAGACAGAGAGACAGAAAGTGAGAAATCACCCCCCCAGGGGTGATGGCCATGCCGCAATCCCTTCTCCTCCATTCTCCTCTCGGGATCTTGGGCACGCATGCACACGCGCCCAGCGTGAGTTTAAGCCACCAGGTCTGGGACTCGAACTGCGGTCAACTATGTGGGAGTCCAGCGACATAGCCATTACGTTAACTGCTGGTCCCATTTTTTGTTATTTTTTCCTTGAAGACTTTACTCAACTATCACATCATGCTGCAAATTGCTTTTTCTAAGTGACATTTCATTCACTGACTACTTATAAATGACCCTAATTCTTTTTGACTGGTGATTCAAACCCTAAAGTTCTTTTTGTTTGTTTTTGTTTTGTTGTTGTTGTTGCTGTTTTTTTTTTTTTTTTTGAGAGGTTTTTTCGCTATAGGGCGTGTGCGCTCGCCAGACAGGCAGAGAGAGACAGAGAGACAGAAAGCAAGAAATCACCCCCCACGGGGGATGGTCACGCCGCAATCCCTTCTCCTCCATTCCCCTCTCGGGATCTTGGGCACGCACACACACGCGCCCAGCGTGAGTTTTAAGCCACCGGGTCCGGGACGCAAACCGTGGTCAACTACATGGGAGTTCAGTGACATAGCCATTACGCTAACTGCTGGTTCCCGATTGTTTTTTAATTTTTAGAAGGTACATGCACTTGCCAGGAAGAGAGAGAAACATCTTCTTCAATGGAGTGTGGTCATGCTGCAATACTTTTTGCTCAATTTCTCCACCCCATCATGATTTGGGGCATGTATGCACAAGCACCAAGTATATTTTTCAAGCCACCAGGGCTAGGGCTCGAACCACAGCCAGCCGTGTGAGATAGGCCTCCTATGTTCTCTCTGCATCGTATCTGTCTGATTTAGTTGATTCCACTTTCTGAATATCTCTTAAATCCAACCTCTCCTCTGCTTCTTCTGTTATGACCAAAGGCAGGCCTTTACCATCTCTTCCCTCAGCTGTTGTCCTGTTCTCACAGATACTCTACTCTCTCTACTGACTGGTCTATTGTTTATAAGACTGCCGATAGGACTTTTAAAAAATCTATTTCTTTTACATTCATTCACTGTATATCATTGCAGCATACAAAATGAATTTTTCCATCCAGAATACACTGAATATTGGTTCGATCAAAGATAGTACCATACAAGTTATCTTCAACAGATACATTTTCATTTTGTATTTCTTAAATAGTTTACTTCTTCTTTTTTTTTTCTCCTTAATTCCCTCCTCCTCACCCTCTGCCATTTTCCACCCTCCTCCCACACTGCCTCTGGTGCCCACAGTTGTTCTCCATGCTTTTATACCATCCAATATTTCAGCTTCTCCCATAGAGTGCTGACATTCAGTGCATATTAAGTGGGGACATACGGTGCCTTTCTTTCATAATCTGGCTTGCTTCACTTAGCAGTAACCTTTCTATCAAATGCCAGGGTCTCTCTTTTTTTTTTTTTTTTTAGGCTGAGTAGTGATATGTAGTGTATATGTGCCACACTTTTTCAATCCATTCATCTGTTAGTGGACATTCGGGTTGGTTCCATGTCTTAGCTATTGGGAATAATGCCGCAATAATTTTTTTAATGTGCACTTTAATGTATTCATTCAAGAACAAATATCTATTGAGCACTTACAATGTGTGGGCACAGGGTTAAATGAAGAATGCAGTATAAAGCAGGCACAGTACTGCCTTCATGGGATCATAGTCTGTGAAGGAAACAAACATGAGGTAGGTAGACCAGAAACAAATACAACTCTTTGTTGTGATCTTGGCTGTGATAAGGACTAACTTGGGCAAGCTACTTTTGATGGGAGGTCAACAGAACTTCCTCTGAAAAACATAACATATGAACTGAGACCTGGAGGAAAAGGAGGAGGAGGAAGAGACGACACTGTGGGGATGTGGGGACTTATCCAGCAGAAGCAGCAGAGATAAAAAGAGCCTGATATGGAAACAGCTAGATGTGTTCAAGGATCAGCTGAACAAGCATAGCTGGGACTATGAGTAAGAAGGGGTAAAGCCAGAGAGATGGCTGGTGAGATGGAAGGTCCTGAGTCCTGCAGAGACTTCCTTACATTCCAAATGCAACCTGAAGCCACTAATAGGGTTAAGGTAGGGAGGGGCAGCATTCATTAATCCAAAATCCTCCATCATTTTAATAATACAATTCACAGTGCATACGATGGCCTTCCTCTCAAAGCTCATTTCCTATCCCTCTTCCCACCCCTTGATCTGCCCCACCACATTGACTTTGTACTGTTTTTTTTGCACAAGACAAGGTGCTTACACCACCAGGCCTATGTGCTTGCTCTTCTCTGCCGGGATGCTTTACCCTCCAGAGAGTTGCATGACTTGCTTCTTTAGACCATAAAGGATTGTGTGCAAACACAAATAATTTATACTGGCTGATGGTCTTCAATGTTAACGATCTACTTGGATCAGGTCATGGATATTAATAGAAAATATTTTGGGGGTGGTTCAAGACAATTAAAACAAGACTTAATAGCCAGCCACGCATGTCTGGAACATTCAGGTAAGGACCAAATTATTCCTTGGCACATTCAAACTCTTGAAGAACCCTTTATCTCAAGCTGTAGCATAGCTGAGCCTGGCATCCTGCCACTCTTACTATTTGTTGGCTAGTAGGTGAGAAGGGTGCTGTGGCTTTGGAGGCAAACCACAGCCAGGCAGAGGTGTGAGTTTTCCCAATCATCAAATGACAGGGAGTAAGACCCACCTCAAGATTGTATTGTACATGCCACAGATACTAGAAACCACTTTGTACACAGCAGAGGGGACTTCAAGAAGTTCATGGAAAATTAGAGTTAAACTCCAAGTTTATGATGATGCAAAAAATGTTTGAAATTTGCATGCACCTATGCAATACATGCACATCTTACATGTGAACATACAGATGCATATATGCACAATTATCTCCACAAATATTAAGTAGTTAAAACATTAAAAAGAAAAGATTGAAGTGTTTTCTGGATAAAACAATATGAGATAATTTAAAATTACAAAATGAAAACTCTGTGTAAATGGCTGTTTTAGAAATGGATTCCTTTTCTGAAGTAGCTATTGATCTACCAAATTTATAGAACATCTATAGAGCAAAGCATGATGCCACTGGTTCCTCAGTCTTGGCAAATTCCATGGTGATTAAAAATCTGGAGGGGGGACAGCAGGTGGTGTGGTAGTTGAGGCACTGGACTACCAAATGACCAACTGCGGTTTGAGTCCCAGACCTGGTGGCTTAAAAATCACCCCAGGCATTTGTAAATGCTTGCCCAAAATCCCTAGAAGAGAATGGAGGAGAAGAGATTGTAGCGTGGCCATTCTCCCTAGGGGGTGATTTCTCACTTTCTCTCTCTCTGTCTCTCCAGTGAGCACATGTGTCCTATAGTAAAAATCTCTAAATAAATAAATACAAAGCTATGTGAGTCTGCACTGGTGTCTGTTAGAGGGACATGGACAAGGTACCTAACGGGTTATACATATATAAAATGAGATGTTAATAATCATGTCTACTTCATAGAGTTGTTGGGAAGATTAGATACAAGACACACAATACTTAGTAAAGCATGTACGATAGAGCTAGTGATAATTAATGTTGACCATTGGTGGCAGTAATGATGATGATGATGATGATGATAACATCTACTCACCATGTTAGCCCTGAAGTAATTAATTAATTATAGGAATGTTCTATTAGTCATTTATTTGACCTTTAGTTGTTTATCATATTCTAAACTTTTCTAAAAATGTGTTACTTTCTAGGAAGTATTTTCCATGCCTAAAGATAATCTTCATTATTAATATTCCACCTACCCATCTTCCATGTATTCATTAATCATCAACCATCCATTCCTCCATAACTTCATCCACTCATAAACTTTCTACCCATCCATTTATTCATCCATCTTTCTATTGATACTTATTTATCCATTCATCCATTCTTCCATTCATCATCCATCCTTCTATCTGTCCATTCATTCACCATTTATTCTTCCACCCATCATATATCCTTCTATCCATCCATTCATCCACCCACCCTTCCATTCATCATCCATCCTTCCACCCACCATCCATCCACCTACCTTTTCATTTATCATCATCCATCAACCTAGCCATTCTCCCATCTACCTATCCATTTTCCCATCCTTCTATCCACCTATATTTTCATCTATCCTTCGATAATCTATACATACAATGAATATTTAAGAACCCTGCCACCTCAAAGAAACTATGGTGACTACCAATAGAAACAAAACCTGATTTTTGTCCTCAAATCGTAAGAGATGATACATAAGCACCATATTTATCATCCAATCAATATCTATCCTTTAACATGAAAGCAGTCAAAGCAAGTATATTACAACATTCAGAAGGTGCTCAAGAGATATCTTGACCCTTAGCCTCTTCACTCTGGTTCTCTTAAGCCAAAAGCATTGCAGTGGAACAGTGAGAAGAAAGTGGCACCCAGCCAATGAAGGTTCAAAGCCCACCTCTCCAATGTATCAACTGGGTGGACTTAGGCTATTTCATGTCTCTGAAGTCTAATTTTCAGTGTTCTCCTCTTAAAATGAAGATAATACAACTGTAGAAGCTTTCATGAGAATTAAAGGAGCTAATGGGTATAAGAGAATAGTGTGTCTTAAAAATACTGAGTCTCTCTGCTCCTCAGTAGCAAACGACTCCATGTCTAAAACAAAAGCTCAGCATAAATCTTCTCTCTCCACATTACCCTCAACATACACCTCTTCTACTACATATTTAGGTTGCCTTTGGAAGGAGAAATGACAGGATCTCAGGGAGATATTGTTGCATTTCATATTTCTCCTTCAAAAACAGGGATAGTACCCTTACCTTAGAGGAATGGTGCAAAGATTCATGGAATCATGACAATATTAGTCCACCATCAGGAACTTAATAGGCAATTTTCCCAGTCTGGTTCTCTTTTCTTCCACCTGTTTTCCTCCAAACTTTGAATTAAGGCAGCCTTCCTAACATTACATCATTCATATAATCTGAATTCACTTACACTTTCAAGTTTCTTAAAAGGGAAAGGAATCTTCCCTAAAGACCTTTTACCCTCCTTGGTTTAGCTTTCCCCTCAAAAAACCAATGTGATGGCCACCAGCCACTTGTGGCTCTTGAGCACTTAAACATGGTAAGTCCTTTGTTTTCAGTGTAAAAGACTCAATGGATTCTGAAGGCAAAATATGAAGGAAAAAAAAAGAATGTAAACTATCTCATCAATTTTTTAAATATTTATTATATGTTTCAATGGCAATAATTTAGATATCATAAGCTCTATGAAATATATTAAAATAAATTGCACCTGGTCCTTCTTTCTTTCTTTTTTTTTCTAACATGGCTAAATAATATATGCCCCTTACCGCTACATATGCAGCTTGTAGCAAATTTCTAGTGGACAGTATAGCTCTAGACTTTCCTTCTTTGCTGTGGGGACCCCAGACCTCATTTTTCACATCCACCCATATTTCCAAGTTAAGGAGTACCTTTGAGAGAGTTCTTCGTGGCCCTAGCTCTCTCCACGAACCCTCTTTAAGGTTCTGCTCCCAAAGTTTCTGGGTTATCTGGAGATTGGCCAAATGGCTTTGGCTCCAGCTTGTCTGTAGAACAAGACAGCAGCTACCAAAAAAGGATTCTCTGTAAGCGGTTACTATCAGAAAGCAGTTTGGATGGGATCATCCTGTAGTTAATTAATGATGCCCTATGATGAGCTCATGCATAGCCATAAGACCATAAAATTCAGTCATATGTATGTTAATGGAGTTTTGCGGGGGCTAGGGTCAGATACAAAAATATTGATGAACAGAGAAGAGATAACTCCTATTAAGCTACAAAAAGCAAGCGAGTCTTCAGTTGAATGAAAGATCAAGACCCTAGAATCATGTAGAGAGGAGGCGAGTGGGGGAGGATGGAAATTAGTTCTTAAATACACTATTCAATTTGCCCACATTATTTAAAATTAAATTTTAATTTAATTAATTTATTTTATTATTATTATTATTTTAATTAGCTACAGGGCAAAAATGTGCTCATTAGAGAGAGAGAGAAAGTGAGAAGAAAGCCACCAGGTCCAGAACTTGAACAACAGTCAGTCATGTAGGAATCCAGCACCTTAACCACAACCTGCTGGCCCCCTGTAGTTATTATTATTTATTATTAATCTGTTATAGAATACATACACCCATGAGAGAAAGTGAGAAAACAAACTGCCAGGTCCAAGATTTGAACCATGGTAGGCATGTGGGAGTCCAGCCCCTCAACCATTATGCCATCTGTTGGTTCCAATATTTCTGAAATTCTAAATGAAGGAAGTAGAGGGGAGCGCATGGGTGTTTGGAGAAATATAGAGACAATTAGCCCAATAGGTAGAGTATAAGGCAGGATTAGTCCAACAGCCTGCTACTCTATTTCTCTATCTACTGCTATCCTCCTTGCTATATATATATAATATATAATATATATATATATAATATATATGAGACGTTTTTGCTATAGGGCACTTGCGCTTGCCAGACAGACAGAGAGAGACAGAGAGACAGAAAGCGAGAAATCACCTCCCAGGGGGTATGGCCACGCCTCAATCCCTTCTCCTCCGTTCTCCTCTCAGGATCCTGGGCACACACGCACATGTGTCCGGCATGAATTTTAAGCCACTGGGTCCGGGACGTGAAACGCGGTCGGCTACGTGGGAGTCCAGCGACATAGCCATTACGCTAACTACTGGTCCCAAGTGATATTTTACTGTCCTTAAATTTTTTGAAATTCTTAAGCCTTCGCAGTATGTTTCAGGGTTGACCACATTACAGTTGACCCCCAAGGGTATTCCTTGGTTTTACCAATGAGTAAATTGAGGCATGGTTATGCTAAAGAACTGGCTGAAAGCTATACAAGTCGGTATGGATAGTAGGACTTGAATCAGTGTGACTGGCAGTTTTCTTTTATTGTCACTTTGGTGTCATGTTCTTATTTCCCAAACTTATGTTTACAGAATAAGAGAGTTAGAGGTTTTGATTTTCTCACATGGCAGCCTTCTTTCCCTGTCTTCTTGGTATATGTCTCTCTACCTCCATATTCTTTTTTCCACATCTTACTGATTCCCTTGCTGTCTTTCCAACACTCCCTATCATTCTCTTTCCCAGTCACTATTTCACCACCTCTCTTCTCTCCTTTCCCTTTGTCTCTCTGGCCCTGTCTCCATTTTCTATCTCTTCATATCTTTTTCTTTGTCTCTAGGTTTTGTTAACCTCTCTTTGTCTCATTCAGACTTGAGAGTCTCACTATCTACAGTCACACACTCATATAATGATATTTTGATCAATGACAGACTGTGTATATGATGGTGGTCCTATAAGATTATAATAGTCTGTACCATACAGCGTAGATGTGTAGCAGGCTCTACCATCTAGGTTTATTTAAATACACACTGCAATGCTTACGCAATGACAAAATTGCCTAGCAAAGTGTTCCTCAGAATGTATCCTCATCACAATGCGTGACTATACATGTGTGTTACTATATATTTGGGTGTATGTTTGTATATGGTTCTCTCTTAGTCCAACAGCCTGCTACTCTATTTCTCTATCTACTCCTTATTTCAAAATAGGAATGTGGAGACCAGATAGTGATGCAGTAGTAAGACAACCCACAGGAAGAGTTCTCTATTCATGTCTGGAGACCTCCATGAACATGCCACATGCCCTGTGTGAGTTTTAAGTTGCCGGGTCCAGGACTTGAACCGTGGTTGGCCATGTGGGAGTCCAATGATGTAACCATTATACCAACTGCTGGTCTCAGAATTTGCATTTTTATTCAGCTCTTCACTTCTGCCTTAGAACCACTTCAGCCAAGGGAGTCATGAGTCCTCTTGCAGTGTCCTCCTCAGGGCCATGATCTTACACACAAGTCAAGCGGGCTGCCATCCTCCTTGCTATGAAGCAAACAGAGCTCTTTGTTTCAGAACACCCTTCCTGACACTTTCCATTC